CAGTAATCCACCTGTCCTCTGGCCCCCATGTCCCTCCCAGACCCCGCTGCCCTTGTATCTGGGGTGCTGCCCTCTGGCCATATAGCCCTCAGTACTAGGGTCTCCCCTCCCCAGGGAACCCCCACCCACTATCCCTACCTCGCCTCAGAATAAGGCCACTGCCAGTCACCAACTAGCCCCCACTCCCTGAGGCAGACTGCAGTATAGGCCACTCATCACAGGCAAGGTTGGGTTTGGACCTGCTGCCTTGGCCTACCCATGGGCTGCCCTCTGCAACCCCCAGTACCCTTTGGCCTCCTACTAGGCCACAGGCTGGGGCTATCCAGGCTGGAGCTCCCCAGCCCTGCTCCAGACAGGTACCCTATGTCTCACTCTCTGCAGCCAGGCCATTCTCTCTCTCTAAGTACAGAGAGAGACTGTTTGGCATCTGGCTCCCAGCCTTTTTATCCAGGCCAGCTGTGGCCTGATTGGGGCGTGGCCCAGCTGTGGCTACTTCCCCAATCAGCCCAGCTTTTAGACAGCCCTCTGCCAGGGCTGTTTTAAGCCCTTCCAGGCAGGAGTGGGGTAACCACTCCGCTACACCCACACCCACACGCACACACACACATACACACCCCTACACTCTGTCTCTCCCTCTCCCTCTCCCTACAAGACAAGGTAGGCGAGGTAATATCACAAGCCAAGATTCTCCCACATTCCCATGATTCCAGGAGCTGGAGCTTTAAGAAAAAGCAGCAATGATTGTGAGACTTGTTAAAATTGTGAGAGCTGGTAACTTCTGCTCTACACTCTGTCTCTCTCTCCCTAGAAGACAAGGTGGGCGAGGTAATACATTTTATTGGACCAACTTCTGTTGGTGAAAGAGACAAGCTTTCCAGCTCCGCAGCGCTCACCTTCAGATCTCTCCCGAAAAGGTCATTTTTCATTCTCTTCGTGAATTTTTCCCCGGGGCTTTAGGCAGGGGTGAGATTCTGCACCGATCCTAGATTGGCGTAGCTCCATTATTGAGCTCTGCCATGTACACACACCGAGGAGCTGGCCTGTTTGTGACTCCTGCTCAAATAGTCGAGAATCCATTTGTTCAACAGGCCCTGATCCTGAACCCTTACGCCAATGGGAGCTTTTTACCACTGAGGTCAGCCGGAGCAGGAGCAGCTGTCTGACCCTAGGAAGCTTGGGTAAGAGAGGCCTGAATGCAACGAAATGCTCATTTGCTTTTAATCCGTCTCCTTCCCCCTGAGATGCTGTCAGCAGATGCTCGCTGGCTGGGCGGCTTTCGGCGCGCCGGCAAGCAGCACAGCCTGGCTGGGTTTGGGTCTGGAGATCAGCGATGGACATAGAGAGGCACAAAAATGTCCTTCAGAATCCTGAGTGAAGGCCAAACCTTAACGAGCCCGCTCCTCAACTGGGGTAAAGTGATGGAGCTCTGACCTCAGTGGAGCTACGTGGATTTACACCAGCTGAGGATTTGGCCCTTTAGGTTGTGGCCTTTACTCAGGTGAAACCCCCAAGGCCACACTTCAGTGAAGGCTAGGAGAGAGTAACGCCTGCGACCCCGATCCACCAAGGGATTTAGGCTCCTGATGCCCATTGATTTCAGTGGCAGTTAGGAGCCTAAATACCTTGATGGCTCTGGGCCTAAGAGCCTCAGGAGGGGTCACTCAGGAAGGGCTGCCGGTGAAAACAGGGCTCCCTGCTGTCTCCGTGGGGATCAATTCTCCTCATTGCAAAGGGGAAATAAGCCTAAGACTGGTGTCCTCCCAGCAGAGGGCGCCACATACACGGCCCTGAGCGCTCCGGCGCACCCACCTATTAATGCGTCTCCCATAGCGCTGCCCATTGCGCTGTAGGAACAGTCACTGGGGGAGCGGAGTTGACGACAAGGGGATCTGGGAGTGGAGGCAGCATGCTGCAAAGCAAACAAGTATCCTCAGCACGATTTTGCCTGGCTGAAAAGCAAGCCCGGTCGCTGCTCGTCGGCCCAAGGAGGCATGGCTGGGTCTCCCCCGCCACTGAATTCACAGGAGAGCAGCCCTCCTGATTTGCAATACGAGCGGCGCAGCGCACACGAAGGCTGGGGAAGATTTGAGTGTCTGATTTCAAGTTAGTCGCGCTCCGATATGAAATGTGCTCCTTTGCTTTCCTTATGAAACCTGAGCCAGGAGCACAGACGTCTGGGTCTTAGAAAGGGCCTCGGGGCCTGAACTTCCTGGGGAAGGGATAGAAAAACCACAGCAGTGCCCGGTGCTATTAAGCCATTTGCTACTGGCCACAGAAAACATGCTGCAGGGCTTGCCGTGGAGTGATATTAATGTCACAGGGAGCTGGCAGCGACTGAGGGTTCAGAAATCATCCGCAGCATTATACCGTCCAGCAGAAAGCTGGCCAGGCTGCCTGGCTGCCCTTAGGGCCTGCCTTATGCTAGAGGAGATACCAGCGTCCTCCAGAACAGTGCATGGTGGCAGGATCGCCGTATTCTTCCCACCCTGCTTGGGAAGTAAATTTAAAACACATGGAGATTATCCCCATTGTCCTGCAGGGGGCGATGGGGAAACTGTGGGGTGGAAAACAGGGCTCGGCGGCAAATGCTTTGCAGGGCTCTGATTTCCCATTCCACAGTTGCTGTCCCTGTGCACGCCCCAGCCATGCAAACACACTAGTCACGAGCGGGCACGCCACACATACCCCTGCCCTTTCACAGACAATCTTGTGCACACAACAAGCAAACATGCATGAACACATTCCTGCATCCCCCTGCTAACTGCACGCGTAACCCACTGGCGAGTGTATGTTATGGGGCCCCCTTCGTGCCTGATCCACACAGGCTATGAGCTATCACAGTCCCCCTCCCCCGCCAGGCAGGTTTAGTGCACGCACAGCTGTAGCAGCTCATGCGTTTAGCAGGTGTGTAGGCTGCGGACAGGTGTCTCGTCAGTGCAGGCTGCCTGGGATGTGAACTGCTGAAGGGCTCAGGCTGTCAGCGGAAAGCTGCGTGGATGTGCCTAGCGGCTTATGATCATTCCAATCCTCCCGTCCTTTTCTCTGTGGTTTATTGACTTTGGAGCTCACCTGAATCCCCCTGAGTGGTATTACCTTTGGCCTGCTTGTGACAATGTCCCCTTAGGCAGTTTGAGAAGGCTGGAGATCCAGTGTCACTAACGCGGTGGAATTCAGGCTCCCGGATGGAAGGTCCTGCCCTCTATAAACCAGGATGTCCCATCCTGTTCTTTTCATTGGCTCCCTTGAAAACCCACATGCTTATCAGTTATTCTTGGGGGTTAATTTCCCCACAGTTGTCAGATTTGCAAGGTTAAAAAGAAATCGCAGGGTGGAGGTCTCTCACCCAGGCAGTCCTACTGGAGTCAGCAGGTGCGTGGCCGTGAGACCAGAATTTGGCTCTGAAGGGCTTGAGCTTTCTTAACATGAGTGAGTCACCGACATCTCATGGGAAAGGTCCTATTCGAAGACTGTGCCTTTGTGTTCTCCCCTTGTCAATGGCTAAGATGATGGATGAGAACAGGGTCTTCAGGCTAGATTTCACCCATCCCTGCGGCTTATTCCTGAACCGAGGTCGTGCTCTCAGCTACGTTACAGCAACCCCAGCAACCGTCCCCAGTGTAGATGAAAGTTGAATCTGGCCCACCCTCTGTAACAGGATCATTGTCTCCTAATTTTGACACGTAAATGTAGCCTCCTGGCCTGGTGGAGAAAGAGGCAGACAAGCTCCTGACACTGTTCCCCCAGGAACACTGGTGTGTCTCCCAGTGACTCCTGATTTACTCCTGATTTATGGCACTGTGAGCAAGAGGAGAATCAGAGCCCCTGTTTTAATGCGGATATCCCTGGTGGGGATCAATACTGAAGACCTATGCTGTCTGGGAGAAAATTCACCCCCTAGGCAGAGAGACTACACACCGCTTTATCCGATTGAAGCCTTTTGAGTGATGTAAGGCGTAGGTTGCTAGTGGTGAATGTGAATTTCACCCTCTAAGAAGAATGGTTTCCACTCTTTGCCTTCATCCAGATTTATCTTCCAATTGCTGTGGCCAGTGCATTTGGAGCGCTGGCCAGAGGCCATTTCTGAGTTCTCTTCCTTCGCTTCTTCTGTCTCCTTTGGAAGAGTCTCTGAGTGGAAGCAGGGCAGCCCACTTGCATTATTCATACGGCCAGGAGCCAAGGAGATACAGTTACAGTCTAGCAGAACAGTCGCAATAACTTGAGTTCTTAATTCCCCGTGCCTGGCAGAAAGGTGCATCGCAGGATGGGATGAGACATTTTGACCGAGGAGTCGTTATGGAATGTTAAGAGCCAGGACCGGGGACTTCCCAGTGGAAGGATGAAGCAGGGTCTCCCAGAGGATGCAGCTGCAAGTATCAGGGGATGTTCTCATCACCGGTGGGACACTGCATTCACATTCTAAAGTGCAGTAGGGGGGACTAAGAAGGAACGACTAAGCCGAGGAGGGGAAGGATGGAGAACTGCTCTGTCTCACTGAAACCCTGCAAAGGTAAATAAAACCAAGACCTGTATACGAGCACTAGCTCCTGGCACTGCATGCCCCTGTTTCGGAGCAATGCAGAAAAGCTTTCCTTCTGCTGCTGGGAAGACGTTACAATTGGCTCACGAATGTGCATGGGCAGCATGAAGGTTTGGCTTTGAAGGCTTGCTGCTGCCTGGTTTTGGGGGATTGACCGCCCAGGGGGACACTGTTATAACCCACACCTATACTCAGGATCGTGGGTGACGTATGGCACTGCCGCACCTGGAGGCTAGAGTATGAGCCTGAAACACCAGGAGCATGGGTGGCAAAAAAGGTGAGACCAAAAAGACCGCTGAGAAGGGTGGCAATGCCAAGAAGGGCAAGGACGAGGTCAAGGGGGGAAAGAGCAATGCCAAAGGGGGGAAGGAAGTGGCAAAGGGGAAAGGGAAGGATGAGAAGAAGGGGAAGGATGCCAAGAAGGGGAAGAAGGAGGTTCTCAGTGAGTCGGAGGAGGCCTCGGACTCTGAACTAACGAAGAGCAATGCCGAGGAAGACAGTGATGAGGAGAGTGAGATGGTGGAGGAGGAGGACGACGAAGATGAGGACAGTGAGGAAGACCCTAAGAAAAAGAAAGGGAAGGATAAAAAGGAGGCCTCCAAAGCCATGGCTGGTAAGAAGCAGGGGAAAGGGAAAAAGGTGCTGTCGGAAGAGGAGGAGGAAGAGGAGGAGGAGGAAGATTATTCTGCAAAGAAAAAGAAGAAGGACTTGCACCTCAAAGGTGCCTCCCACCTGGTGATGGGGCTGGCGGGCGATGATGCCAAGAAGAAGAAGGGGGCAAAGAAAGAGCATGCCAAGGCTCAGCTGAAAGGGGCTACCAAGGCTATGGCTGGTCTAGCTAGGAGGGAAGTGGAACCGCCCAAGTCCAAAATGAAGAAGAGCCTGAAGAGTGCATCCAAGCTCTTCATGGGCTTCAAGAGGCTAGGCCTGAAGCGCTCCAAGAAGGGCCAGTTCAAGAACACCTCCCGGTTTTTCTGGGGGCTGAATAAATACAGCACGAAGAAGAGGATGAAGAAGAACAAGGCAGTGCTGAAATCCACCTCCAACCTCATGATGCGCTTCAAGAGTATAGGGAAGAAGAAGAAGAAGAAGAAAGAGGAGGCCAGTGGCAACCCGAAAAAGCCCTCTTTCCTGCTGATACGGCTGGGATTGGGCGGCGAGAAACCTAAGGAGGAAGGTGGGTTCTTCAGCAGCCTCTTCCGCCGGAGGAGAACGAAAGAGAAATTCAAACCCCGGGCTCAGATCCTGAGCAAAGCTGCTGCCGCCACCGGCTGGCTGACAAGAAAGTTCCTGTCCAAACGGGCCAGGCTTACCTACAATGAGAGGTCCATGAATGAGGCCTGGCTGTCTAGGATTGGAGCTAAGAAACTCCCCTTCCCCTCAGAGGACGAGATTCTGAGGCACCGAGCCAACATGAAAAGGTTCTCTGGAGCCAGGAGGCTCTATGGTCAAGGGGAAGAGGAATATGGCTACCAGCCAAATTTTGAACATGGCGGCCTTGTGAGGCAGCCCTCTGGGAGGTTCTCACAGCCCGGGCCAAGCGGGTATGAGGGCCCTGCAGTCCCACTGGACTATTACAACTGTTACCAGGATGACAGCAGCTTTTACGACCCGCAGGCCCCAGCTCAGTATGGCTACCCTGAGGAGGAAAGCTACCTCCAGGCACCAACTGACTATGCAGACGGACACGACTTTCATAACAGAAGGGTATCTGATTATGAGGACGACCCTGGATATGATAGGGAAGAAGAATATGAGCTTTATGAAGAGCCCATGGACTACTACGACGATCCGCTGCAAAACCAGTCTGACTACTACGACTATGAAGACCAGGATTATGAGTCACCTTCTGGCTATTCACCATATGAACCCTATGACCAATATAGGAGCGATATGGATTACTACGAAGAGCAAGCAGGGCCATACAGCTCTTTTGAAGACAGATATGGTCCTTCTGGAGGGCCCTACAACCTGAGGGTAGATGAAATGGGCTATCTGGATGATTATTCCCCTCAGCATGAAATCAGTTATAGCGAATACGAATGGGACCCTCCAGCTCAGTCTTCCTATAACCCTTATGCGTATCCCTTGGACGATATAACGGAGATGGATGAGCCAGAGGAGTTGGCGGATGAGAATGGAGATTATCCTTTTATGCTCCCTAATTCTTCCTTCTTTGAGCAGCAGGGGATCGAAGAAACGTTGCCTTCTAAACTGTCGTTAAACAGGAAGTTCAGGCTCTTCCCCAGGCCGCAGGTGAAGCTATTTGGCAGAGACAAACTTGATGTTCCCCTCCCTCCTTCTCCGCATATTTCCCTTGCCGGCGTAGATCAAGATGAGGATGACTACGGTGAATACGAGCCGCTGGCGCCTCCCTTTGCCCAGTTCAGTGTTGGGGATCCCCAACCCTCAGTGACATACGGCCGTGTTGGCCAGGATCATGGCCGCCGGCTTCCAAGGCCTCACTCTCCAAAGTCAATGGGAAGCAGGTTCGACCCTGGTGGCCAGCAAGGCAATGTCCAGGGGGCGCATTTGCAAAGCTTCTCTCCGCGAGGATGTGGGAGCCCCCTAGGACAGTTCTTACAAAGATCCCTCACACAACCAAAACCCATTTTAAAACACCGTGGGAGCGAGGTGAAGGGCAGGCCTCCCACGCCCTCTCCAGTAAGGAGGGCAACATCTTTGTCATTTGGTGAGAGCGGGCCTCTGAGGCCACCTTCCCCTCAGCCATCAATTAGACACGGCGACATGCCAAGTTCCACCTCTTCCCCGAAACTTAGCAGGCAGTGTAGGAGTCCAGAGAGACAGAGCTTTCATCACTCTTCTCCACAGCCCTCTGTAAGACGTTTTGACATCCCCCAGGAGAAATCACATGACCGGCATCCATTTATTGAGCCGTCCTATAAAAAGTTTGGCCATAAATTAGCAGGGATGGAGACCTTAGAGTCGGCACCTCTCTTGCCTATGAGGAAATTCGATTACACAGTCAGTAACAACAACAACTCCCAAAGGCCTCCCTCCCCTCAGCCTTTAAGGAGAGTAGGAAGCAGAAGCAGTCTGGAGCTCCTCAGGCCACCGTCTCATTCTTCTATGTGGCAGAGACCCCCTTCTCCAAAACCCAGTGTGAAAAGGCTCAACTTTAACCAGCCACAGGCGGATTTTCAAAAGCCAGAGACGAACAACCCCTTTCTGCAGCAGTTCGGCAGCCACATGACTGGGAAGTCTCCACAGCTTCCCTCTTACCAGTCACCAATGAGACCCAGAAGTCCCCCTCCCTCACCGCGATCCTCTCTGAGGATGAAGAGCCCTCCCCCTGCTCCTCCTCGCTCTTTGAGGAGACCAGGGTCTCCAGTGGCCAGAGAAAATGTCTCCTCTCCTCCTCGATCATGGAGACAAAACTCCTCCACCGCTGGGAGCACAGCACCTATAGATTCCACCTTCCAGCCCATGTCATCTCCTAGGCCAACAGCTCATAACCCATTCATGAGTCAGAGGAGTTGGTCTCCACAGCCTGTGCTAAAGCACGTCAATAGCACAAGGGGTGAGCCATCTTCCAGCCTGCCGTCCCCACAGCCCACCCTCAAATCCAGCTCATCGAGGTTTCAAATGTTTGGCTCAACCCCCCAAGGCACTCCCCCTGCCACGCTGCCTAGGAGCTTAGCCCCTCCAGGGCTCCATAATCCTGCCCCTGGGGAACTGAAAGCACCCTCTTCACCTCACCCATCCCTGAGGCAGTTTGGGTCTCCTCCTGAGGCAAGGTCCCCTAGCTTTTCGGCCAGGGGCGCTGGGAGCATACGGTCATCTTCCCCTCAGCTATCAAGGAGACTGAGGCGCTCGCCCGTGGAAATACATAGGCGGCTCCCCCAGGCTTGGAACAGGCAGCCCGAGCCTCCAACTAAAGCAGTGAAGCCTTTAATGAGGAACTCGTTTCTGAAGCAGTTGGGCCGTCCAGCGGGAGCTCAGTCTCCCATTCCACCATCCCCGATGCCGTCCGTCAGAGGCGGGCCGCCTCCCCGGGGATTGGCAAGAACACCCTCCCCTCAGATGCTGACACGCCAAGGAAGCCATCGTGTTACCATCAAAGACTCTCCTAACTTTCTACCTGGCTGGTCCCCGTCCCCCATGGATGCTAATGGGCCGGCGGGGGAGCTGCCTGCACGGCCGCGTTGGGACAGGGCTTCTGGGAACGAAATGCCAGCTCAGCGAACTCCATCACCCAAGATGGCAGGAGGCGGAAGCATGAGGAACATTTCAAAGCTACCTCCACCTCCCAGCCCTGCTCCTGGGATCCCTAATGCATTTATCAAACGCATCGGCCAGCCTCTGGCTGGGATGACCCAGACCCCTTCCACGAGGAGGCCTTCTCCTGCAGAAACCAGCAGCATGCTTGCAGGTGAAGCAGGAGGTAGGAATGCATTCCTGAAACGGTTTGGACAGCCAGTGGCAGGTCAGACATTAGGACCCACAGCTCTCCAATTCTCAGTGAGAGAGGGCGGACATGTAGCCCAGGGACAACGCCCACCATCACCGACAGATCCTAGACGCCCCCTTGGTAGGAGCCCTTCTCAGAAGCCGGCCTCCCCTGCTCCGTCCCTAAAACATGCTACGATGCCAATGGGAGAAGCAAACAGGCCACGGTCACCTACCCCAAACTGGGCGCATAAGGTTCCGGGTGGGAATTTGTCTTATTCGGCCACCTGCAGCCCCCACGCTGTGCTGAAAGGCAAAGCAAATCTGGGCCCTCAATCGCAAAGAACTGTGGCCTTCAAAGGCCCACATTCTGTGACGGGAGCTGGCCCCTCCTTTGCCGGGTCCCCATCCCTGCAGGAAGCATGCAGCAGACCAGCAAAACTCCCTGCTGAGCTCTTTGAGAACGAGGACATGTCAGGGGAGGACGGCGTGGGGAGGTACGCCGTTGTCATGCCGCAGGTCCAGAGGCTGGGCACCTTCAGAAGGATGTCCTACATGCACAAGCAGCACTGGTCTAAGCAGCAGATGGTGAACGTCCGTGCGTCACCCAGCCCGTGGTCTTCTGAGAAACTGCTTCATAACCCTCCCACTGAGAGCCTGAACAGGTGGTCGGGCCGGAGAGGAGACAGCACTGCTGGGTACCTGACCCACCGATCCTCAGTGCAGAACCGGGGTGATGGGAACCACTGGGAGCGTGGGAACACGGGCAAAAAACCGCCCTGGCACGATAAGGTAATTTCAGGGATTTGGGCCAGTTTGGTGCATTTAGAGCAGAATCCAGACCTGGGGCCAGTTTACATTGTACTAAACCCACAGGGGTTAATCTGAATGTGGGACCGGATCCAAAGATCCAGATCCAAACGATGTCAGGGGGCGTTGGATCAGGCCCTTACACTGAAGAGTGAGCAACATTTGGCCCCTGGGGTAAGCAGGTACAGCTCTCTTAAAATCCTCTGGGCCAAATCTGCAGTGAGATGGGGGGTGTAAGTTACACATTGGTCAGAGAAACAAATTGGCCGAGTGCTGTGGAAAACACCAGGGTTTGAAGGGTAAAACCAGACCTTGTCTATTAGTAGAGTTAATGTGTAGCCCCTGGATGTGCCCCTTCCCCACCCTTCTCCCAGCATGGAATGAGCATCAGGTGCTTACAGCCAGCCAGCCAGAGGAACCCAGGAGTCCTGACTGCCAGCCGCCTGCTCTAACCACTAGATCTGGCTCCCTTCTCTTGCACAAGAGCTGGCCTCAGATGTGAAAATAAAACAATGTTTTCTCCTCCATGCCATCCGGTCCTGGCTCTGACGCTCCTCTCGCTTCCTCTGGGGTAAGGATGCCCAGTGGGGTCAGCAAGATGAGACTCACGCTGTTACATTCAGACCATGCCAGTGGGAGCGCGGCTTTACCCACATGGCAGTTCTGAGCAGGAGAGAAGCTAAGGTGGCCAGCCTGTGCTCCCATGCAAACATCCCCTGCTTGGGCTGAGTTACTCACTGACAGCCAACCCCCCGGAGACCACAGCTGGCACCACGAGGTTGGCTTTGGCTGGTTAAAAATCCTGGCCTGTTGGAAAGAGGTTCCCCAACAGCGGGCTGCAGGAGCCAGGCGGTGCGGGCACAGCTAGCGAACTGGCACGTAAGCTGGAAAGGGGAAACCAGCCCGTTCCAGACTGAGGTTTAATAAAGGCACAGAGCTATCCCTGGGCTCTGTCATTGTAAAACCATAAGCCCCCCCACCGCAGCCAGGGTGACAGCTGGTACGTTCGGAGCCGTTTGACCTCTGTCATAGCAATGGAACAAAAGAGGTATATGTAAATGCAGAGACTTGATCTGTGGCAGGTAGCTGCATTGGAACAGAAGGAGCGTTTTAATTAGAGGGGCCTCTCTTGGCACGCACTGGCTGACAGAGCTCATCTGAGACCTACCCCAGTACGTGACTGGCTTACCGTGGATGGCGATTGGCTTACCTGCTTGCTGCCTACCCTGGCCTGAGCCCATGAGGGGCTGGATGCTCTCCAGGTTAGGAGCTACGGTGATGATTGAAAAAGCTCCAGGGTTTATTGTCTGCTCTTCCAAGCTGGTGACTCTTAGTTACCTGGGCTTTTTGTGAAGTAACAGATGCTCGGTGGCTCTTCTGTGCATTCAGCTGACGCTGCACGAGGCGTTTAAAATCACGTTAGACAAAGCCCAGGGAATGAGATGAGAGGGACCAATACTGCACTGGCTGGGGGGAGGTGAACCAGGGACCCAATGGGTATCTTCCGCCTCTGAATGTCACGCGGGGATTGTACAGTGCCTCAGCTACCCTTTGCATTGTTCTTGAAAGCTGAATAGGTGCCAGTGTGACAATATAGGGGCCTGTGTATGTTACCCAGCAGTTCAAGGCATGCGCTATAGTGGAATGCAGAGGGACAATACACTGGGGGAGTTGCTTTAGCACACTGAGGGACAGTGTGGTCTAGGGGGTAGGGCACGGCATGGATTCCCCATCCACATTGTTTAGCTTGTGATCCTTTTACGTCAGAGACTGTTTCAGGCCCTGCTCTCGGCTCGGGCCTATAGGTGCTACTGTAATGCAAATAATGAATGGTCATTTTCGTTTTTGCTCTCTGTCTACGTGGGAACACTCAGGAAAATAAATTCACACCTTGTGTTAATTCGGATTAAAGGTGGATTAGTCAAACCACGTTGAACCCATGCATGGAGACTCTCATTCAGAATTAAAGTGGCCTTAATTTGGTTTAGCTTAATTCACAAGAGTGTCCGCAAAGGGATTGATTGTGGTTAAATGAATTTGCTTTAAAAATTAATTTGGATTAACTTTCCTGAATGTCCCCATGTAGACAAGTCCTCAGTCTAATAGTCTGTGTGTGTGTGTGTGTGAGCGAGGGGGTGCAGCTGGTAGAAGACATAAATCTTTGGGAGGGGGTTGGTGGGCTGGTCCCACATAGGGCCCAGCATGAAAGCCTGGATGAAGAGGGGAAACCCAGGGCAGAAGGACTGGTATCATCAGTGGAATAAAGTGGAGGGGCAGGGAATGTGGTTAGAGATACAGACCAGGGCAGAGTTGTGCAGGGTTTGGAAACCAAGGCTGAGAGGTGTGAGCTGGATATGGTAAGTGAGGGGAAGCCCGGGGAGTGCTGCAGAGCGGAGCGGCATGGTCTGATCTCAAGACATCTCTCTGCTGAAGCTCCTGCCCAAAGGGGTCGCTCCATAGCGGCTGTACCCCTGAACAGGGCCAGTTCTGTTCTCCTTTATTGGAAAGCCACCTCCATCAGGCAGTTGATTTTTGTCAGTGCCTCCATAGCTACAACTGGAACCCACTGGTTAGTGTGTTATGCACGTCCCAATTTGCAGAGACCTGGCCCTGTGACAGGCCCTAGCTACAAGGGCTGGCTCTTTAGTTCAAGCTGTAGCAGTTCATGCTTTTAGCTCTGGGGGTCCCTGGTTCAATCCCAGTCATGCAGGCCAAGATGGTGGCCGTCACACACCCACGCCCAAAAAGGGATGAGGAGATAGGAACTGCTCCAGGGCCTGGTGTCCCAACCCTCCCCCCCCCCACTCCCTGGCCTTATCGGTGGCTGTACCAGGTGATGCCACCTGGTGGCCTGCTGCAATGAAGGGACTTGTCAGCAAAGGGTTGGGGTCAGACCTCCCCCTTTGCAAAGTCCCTTCTGTAACCTCCGGCTCCACCTGCACAAGCCTCATTGCTCCCTAGGGTTTCCTCTTGCTGATGGGAGAGGGTTGAGCCAGTCCAGTCACTTTAGAGCAGTGGGGATCTTGTCCCCAGCCCAGGCAGACGGACGGGCCAGTTGGACCAGTTTGTGAGCAATAGCTTGGCCTGGGGTCTGACCCCGACTCTCTGTCTCGTGAGACCCCTGAGCTGGCCGGAGAAGTTCTCTGAGTAACGCTGCCCGATCTGCATGTCTTCCTCCCTGAGTGTAGATGCACTCCATCCACAACCTGCCGTCCAGGAGCCCCCGAGAAGAGCCGAAGGAAGATGGCGTGGAGGACATGACCCAGCTGCAGTAAGTGACTGACCGGCATGCTCTGGTTGCTCTAAAAGGAATGCTAATCACCATGGGCTGGCTGGTGTCACTCAGCAGAGCACCATTGTGGGCTAGGGGCCAGGGCACCGGCCTGGGAATCAGGAATCTGGGGTACAGGTCCAGCTCTGCCACTGACCTGCTGTGTGACCTTGGGTGAGTCCCATCATCTCAGTGTCACCTCCGACCCTCCGTCTTAGCTGTTGTCTCACGTTGGTTATGTAGAGTGACTAGCACAATGTGCTCCCCAGGCCCTAGCATGGACCGTGCCCACTGCCGTGAACAGCTCCTGCAGATGCCCTCCCCCGACCCACTTTAAGATCTCATCAGCCTCGGCAGTGGATTCCCTTAGGCTGACTCCACCCTCACTTTTCGGAGCGTTGACTGCCTGTGCCTGGGAGGGGTGCCTGTTCTTTGCACGTTGGTGGCACTGAGCTGGCTGGGGTTTCATTTGTGGGGACGGCAGGAGTGGATTTGTTGGCCATCAGCCTCATCCTCTTTCTGAAGGTGCTGTGCCCTAGGGCCATGGCTTGATCCCTTTTTGTGCTGTGTGTTCCAGGGACCTCCAGGAGGGGGCAGTGCTGCAGAACATCAAGACGAGGTTTGACCGTGAGTTAATCTATGTAAGTTCCTGGCAGCTGAAGTCGCACTCAGAGTTTATTACAGGCCTCGGGGTCTCCTCGGCATTACCAGTGGAGGGTCCTGTCTGACACTGACGTGCAGAGCGTGTGTCTGGTGGGTGGGTCACTCACGGCACAGCGTGTCAGGACGCCTGGGTTCTAGTCTGCTTCACCCCCATCTCGCTGTGTGATTTTTTGAGCAAGTGACTTAACCAATGTGTGCCACTGTTTCCCAGAGATGGACCTTCCCCCACTTTTGTAAAGTGCTTTGAGATCCTTTGGTAAATGGCATTAGGCATTACTGTCACTCAGCTTAGGTGCCTGCCGCTCGTCTTCTGCCGAGCGTAAAAACATAAGCAGCATTTCCTTTGTGTGTCTCTTGCTGTTGCAGACCTACATAGGCAGCATCTTAGTGTCCGTGAACCCCTACAAAATGTACAACATCTACGGGACGGAGCAGGTGCTGCAGTATGAAGGAAGGGCGCTGGGAGAGAATCCCCCGTAAGTACGTCCCCTGCACGGAGCGCGGTGTGCTGTCTGTCTCCTCCTGGCATGTTACAGTCCCCTTCCGGCTGGGGTCCCTGCTGCACCGCCCGGCTGCTCAGGCTCCGTGAGCTCTGATTGTCCTGGCCGGGGACCCGAGCCTGCAGGGAGTAATCCTCTCTCACCCCAGTAGCCCCACTGCAATTCAGGACCACGTGGGGCAGTCAGGGTTTGCAGGATCGGGCCCCAGGGTTGGGCAGGATCCTGGGCAGTGCTGAGCCGCTATGAGGAGGTGCTGCAGAGGGCGCTCAGGCCCGAACGGTCTGTCTGATGATGAAGCAGCTGTCTTCTCTCTCGAGTGGAGATCCCAGCGCAGGTAACCGATCTTTCCTGGGTAGCAAGCCTGGGGTTCGATCCTGCTGGGTGTCTCCAGACTTCCTTTGTGCCAGTGGGTGACCTCAGGCCAGGGAGCTGGCTCAGCTCAGAGCATCGGAAGCCTGGTCTGGCTGCCAGCCAGGGTGTGGGGCTGGTGGGAACCCCTCCTCTCCAGGGACTGTTTTACCCCTAACGCTCGGTGCGTCTGTCTCTTTTGCAGGCACCTCTTTGCTATTGCAAATGTCGCCTACACCAAAATGATGGATGCCAAACACAACCAGTGTATTATCATCAGGTGAGAGCTTGTGGCCTCGCGGGGGAAAGGGAGCTCCCCTTTCGTTCCAAGAGGTGGCCCCTCTAGCTTCGGGTTGAGCCCGCTCATGGCAGCTTGCCCAGCCACCGCCCATGCCACACCTGGCCTGCAGGTAGATCTGAGATGTCCTTCTGCAGGGCTGAGAAGCTGGCATCTTTCTCATCATCGTCATGGCAAATCCCAAAGGGATGTCGATTGAGCGCTACCGGGATCGATCTCTGCTGGCATCTTTAACCAGCCGGACAGTATTAAAATCAATATAATGGTAAAACCGCCAGGCCAGGTCCAGCCCCTGCTGAAGCCAGTCGGAATTTGGTTGATTTCAATGGGAGCAGGGCCGAGCACCACACCCATAGCTTGTGTAGCTGCCGCTCGGTTTGGTAACCTCTCGGCTGGCTTCAGGTGATTGACTGCACGCTCAGCGACCTTCCTTATGTTCGCGTCTTCTCTTTCTAGTGGCGAAAGTGGTTCAGGCAAAACGGAAGCCACCAAGCTGGTCCTGCGTTACCTGGCAGCGGTCAATCAGAAACGCAACGTGATGCAGCAGGTACGGTGTCCTTTCCAGATGCCACGAGCTATGGTGCCCTGAGAACTGCTGTGCTGCCATGAGCCACCAATGTGCCCATGGAGCTGGCAGCATGGCGGGAGGTACCAGAGGTGAGTGGCCACCTGGCAGGTGCATTGGACCAGGATGTACTGGCCAGCTCCGCAGCACGGCAGGTGTGTCCCCCTCAGATGCCCCAACCTGGCCGGCAGCTTGGCAGATGTGTCCCCCATGGACAGAATCAGCACATTTTGCAACCCAGCAGGTGCAAGCATTCCCTCCAGAGGTACCTGGGACATTCAGCATGAGGCAGTTAAAACTGAAGGCTGTTTGGAGCCTTTTCCCATGATGGCTTTCAGGGACTTATTCCCTGGAGCCATTCGCAGGCAGTCATTTTTCCTTGGGACCCACTTGCGGTCTCTCGGCTCCCTTCAAATCCCTCCCTCCCTTGCTCTCCGTGGCTAAACTCAGGGGTCTCCAAGCTGTGCCCCTCCTGCCGGAGCAGGGGCCTTCCTCCCCAAATTGCAGCACGCTGCACAGAAGTTCGTTCTGCCTGGCAAAGAGAGCACCAGACGCACCCCGTGTGAAAGCCAGAGAAGGGTCTGCATTCTAGGAAGCCTCATAAAGCCCTCTGCAGCAGCAGGATGGGCAGATGTTGGTCCCATTCTAGGGAGGTAGGTCCCATTCCCCAGATAATTCCTGGGTAAACGTACAGTTCTTGGCAATAGAGTGTGGCTTATTATCCTCTTCTCACTGCCGGTGTGTTGGTGACCCTGACCTGTTGTTGTTCCTATGCGTCCCTGCTGCACTACCATAGATAGAGGTATGGGGTGTGTGTGTGGGATGCAAAATTTCCACTTACCTAACAGAGTGATGCCAAAGTGGCCTGCTGTGTTATCTCTGCTGAGGCTAAATCCTGCAGCTCAGAACTCCCCTAGGAGTCATTGGGGGTTTTTTTTGCCTGCAGCCTTGAGCCCTGTGTGTGTGCGTGGCTTTGCAGTGATTATCTTTCCTTTCACTCCCCTACTCTCCTTCTCCCCTCCTGCCCTCCTTCAGCCATCATCCAATGGGGAGTTACAGGTCCCCTGGCACTCAGCAGACAGGCTAGAAAACCCTTCTCGCATTAAAACCGACCCTCGCCCCCAGCCTTGTGCGAGAGCTGTTGCAGAGCAGACAATGATGGTTGCATTTGCGGACAGGTCACTGTATTCCACTCCTTAAATAGAAAAGGAACTAAAGGAAGCCAAACCCTGGTCTCTCTTCGTTGCTCAGCCAAATGTTTAACTTGGAAGCACCATTTTCCTGAGACTGGGTCTGAGGGAGAATGGAGGTTTTGCTGTGTTCGCCAGTTTTCAGGCCCTGAACGCCTGGGATGGCTCGTGTCAGTCACAATTACTGATGTTGAAAAACTTTTCCGAGCAGAGCTGGGTCCACCACTGGGCCAGAGGTGCCAATGCCCAAGGCAACATCTTTCTTTAGAAAATGTAATTATTAATTTAAAATTATTACCCTGGCATCTAAGAGCCCCAGTCAAGGACCAGGACCCCATTATGTCTGATGCTGTGCAAACAACAAAAAAATTTGTTGGGGAAAAGTCAACATGGTTTTTGTAAAGGGAAATCAGGCCTCACCAATCTACTAGAATTCTTTGAGGGGGCAAACAAGCATGTGGGCAAGGGCGATCCAGTGGATATAGTGTACTTAGATTTTCAGAAAGCAGTCAAAAAAGCAAACAGGATGTTAGGAATTATTAAAAAGGGATAGAGAATAAGATGGAGAATATCTTATTGCCCTTATATAAATCCATGGTACGCCCACATCTTGAATACTGCGTGCAGATGTGGTCTCCTCATCTCAAAAAAGATAAACTGGCATTAGAAAAAGTTCAGAAAAGGGCAACTAAAACGATTAGGGGTTTGGAACAGGTCCCATATGAGGAGAGATTAAAGAGGCTAGGACTTTTCAGCTTGGAAAGGAGGAGACTAAAGGGGAATATGATAGAGGTATATAAAATCATGAGTGGTGTAGAGAAAGTGAATAAGGAAAAGTTATTTACTTGTTCCCATAATATAAGAACTAGGGGTCACCAAATGAAATTAATGGCAGCAGGTTTAAAACAAATAGAAGGACATTCTTCTTCACACAGCGCACAGTCAACCTGTGGAACTCCTTGCCTGAGGAGGTTGTGAAGGCTAGGACTATAACAGGGTTTAAAAGAGAACTGGATAAATTCATGGAGGTTAAGGCCATTAATGGCTATTAGCCAGGATGGGTAAGGAATGGTGTCCCTAGCCTCTGTTTGTCAGAGGCTGGAGATGGATGGCAGGAGAGAGATCACTTGATCATTACCTGTTAGGTTCACTCCCTCTGGGGCACCTGGCATTGGCCACTGTCGGTAGACAGGATACTGGGCTGGATGGACCTTTGGTCTGACCCAATAGGGCCGTTTTTATGTTCTTTGACAAGGTCCCTCACCAAAGGCTCTTAAGCAAAGTAAGGTGTCATGGGATGAGAGGGAAGGTCCTCTCGTATATTGGTAACTGGTTAAAAGATAGGAAACAAAAGGTAGGAATAAACGGTCAGTTTTCAGAGTGGAGAGAGGTTAATAATGGTGTCCCCCAGGGGTCTGTACTGGGACCAGTCCTATTCAACATATTCATAAATTATCTGGAAAAAGGGGTAAACTGTGAGGTGGCAAAATTTGCAGATGATACAAAACTACTCAAGATAGTTAAGTCCCAGGCAGACTGCGAAGAGCTACAAAAGGATCTCACAAAATTGGGTGACTGGGCAACAAAATGGCAGATGAAATTCAATGTTGATAAATGCAAAGTAATGCACATTGGAAAACACAATCCCAACTATACATATACAATGATGGGGTCTAAATTAGCTGTCACCACTCAAGAAAGAGATCTTGGAGTAATTGTGGATAGTTATCTAAAAACATCCACTCAATGTGCACCAGCAGTCAAAAAAGTGAACAGAATGTTAGGAAAGGGATAGATAATAAAACAGAAAATATCATTAAGAAAGGGATAGATAATAAAACAGAAAATATCATATTGCCTCTATATAAATCCATGGTATGCCCACATCTTGAATACTGCATGCAGATGTGGTCGCCCCATCTCAAAAAAGATAGATTGGACTTGGAAAAGGTTCAGGGAAGGGCAACAAAAATTATTAGGGGTATGGAACAGTTTCCATATGAGGAGAGATTAGTAAGGCTGGGACTTTTCAGCTTGGAAAAGAGACGCCTAAGTGGGGATATGATAGAGGTCTAGAAAATCATGACTGGTGTGGAGAAAGGGGAAAAGGGAGTGTTATTAACCCCTTCACATAACACAAGAACTGGACGATCACACAATGAAATTAATAGGCATCCGGTTCAAAAATCAAAAGGAAGTACTTCACACAATGCACATTTGTCAGCTGTGGTACTCGTTGCCAGGGGATTCTGTGAAGGCCAAAAGTATAAATGGGTTCAAAAAAGAATTAGATAAACTCATGGAGGATGGGTCCATCAATGGCTATAGCCAAGATGGTCAACGACAAAACCCCATGCTCTGGTGTCCCTAAACTTCTGACTGCCCAGTTTTGTTGATTCCCTCTGAAGCACCCGGCACTGGCCACTGTCGGAAGCCAGGATACTGGGCTGGCTGGAGCATTGGTCTGACCCAGTGTGGCCCTTTTCATGTTCTTATGCAAAGGATAATAATAATAATAATTAATGGAGATATCCCATCTCCTAGAACTGGAAGGGACCTTGAAAGGTCATCGAGTCCAGCCCCCTGCCTTCACTAGCAGGACCAAGTACTGATTTTGCCCTAGATCCCCAAGTGGCCCCCTCAAGGATTGAACTCACAACCCTGGGTTTAGCAGGCCAATGCTCAAACCACTGAGCTATCCCTCCCCCCATGGGGAAGGATGGGGAAGGCTTTTACTTCCTGTCCCCAAGAGGAGCAGGCTGGAGGTGGAGGTATCATTTTTATCCTTGGCCCAGGGCAGCCAGGAGGGTTAATCCGATGTGTCTAGCCAGCCTTTCGTTTCTGCATTGTGCCCATCACTGCAGCGTCTTGGCGTCCCTGGTTGGACTGTCTCACCCTGACCAGCGCTTGGTGGGTTTTTTTTGTCTGGCTGGGGCAGATCCTCGAAGCGACCCCCCTGCTGGAATCCTTCGGAAATGCCAAAACAGTGAGGAACGACAACTCCAGCAGGTTTGGGAAATTTGTGGAAATCTTTCTGGAGGAGTAAGTAATGATGAGCGTATGAGTGTCCCTCTAACACCCCACTCTGTGTGTCTGAAACTGACCCCCAGCCCGAGGGAATTCCGCCCCACGGTCCTGCCTCTGGGCTGCTGACTTGAGGGACCATTAGAATCCCTGGGAGATGTTAGATCCTTGTGCTCCATGCCTGTGATTTAATGGTTCCATTCAAAGCACGGGAACCATTCAGCTCCCCGGGCTGGGCGGTCGGCCAACCCAGCCGCAGGCAACTCTTTGTGGAAAGGTGTCTCCCCAGACAGATTGTATCCTTGTCCCTCTTGCGTGTGGGGAGGGGTTGTTTGATTTTAAGGGCCTGCTTTTAAAAAAGCCATGTGTGTGCCACTGCACACCTAATTTGCACTGCCAGTTGTGTGACTGTGAGCACTGCCTAATAGATGTGTAACCGGCCGCATGCACACCCAATTGCTAGAGCTGCATACGCAGTTACGGTACCACGTGCACAACTCAGGCCTTCGCTTCAAATATCAGGCCCTAAAAATATTCTTCCTTTTGAGCTCCCCCAGTCCCAACCGACATGGCCTTGTAGCGGGGCTGCCATTCCTCCAGTCTCTGGATACATCTCAGTCTCTCATTCAAATACATGAATGGGGGAGGGGGGTGAAGGGCTTCCATTGGGGCTGGGATATAGGACAGGGGAGCACCAGCTCCCCAGCAGAAGGCAGTGGCTTCCTCAGTTCATGGCACACACAGAGAAGCTAGACAAAAATGTAACTGCTCTTGCTGGAAGGTTGCAATGCAACATGACTTTATTTCTTAGAATTCAGAATGATAACACACAGTAACCAAAACCAGAGAGTGACAAAGCAGGCTGCTCCTTAAAACAAAGAAGCACAAGTCACCCCACCTTGCTCTTAGGCCGCCTGCCTGCAGATTGCCTCCTGCTCCCAGCCACTTCACAACAGAGCCCTCCAGCATGCAAGCAGGACCAGGAACCGCTTTCCCCCTTTCACCCCCCTTCCCACTCTTAAAGTGATGGCTTGCAATTCCAACACAGTCCTCAATACACCACACTCAGCAGCTCAAATCCTCCACCCTTCTCTTTGGTCCTCTCTCTTAGCCTGAGAATTGGGCAGCTATCGTGGTTTTCTGTCTGCCCATCCATCCACATGGACTTCAGTCACTAATGCACAGCTGGAAGGCACTCAGAGACTGTGGTGATGAGGGCAGTGTAAGAACCTTTGCAGAATAGACTAGAATCCATCTCTCCCCACTGGGAACAAGGAGGAGGTTCTCTTCCGCATTGGCTTTTAGTGCAGGAGGTTTAATTGCCGCCTGTCTGACACAGTCTGCCAGGCTGCAACAGCCAATCCATTGTCTTTGATGGCTGCACATGGTTGGCCCTTTGTTTACCAGAGGCTCAGCTGTGCTGGGGGTTGCAGCAGGGGCACCTGGCTAGCAGGGCAATTTCAGCTCGGATTCAAGGGAAAACAATGGGCAATGACTAGTCCTTGGACCCAGAGGTACTTCAGGGGAGAAATGGGATGAGATGCTGGGCTGGCAGTGCCAGCTATGGAGTTGAACAGTACTGGAGTAGGATGTTTCCCACTGAGCAGACAGGCTGGGACCTTGGGCGACATTCACGTTCCTCTGGAGTGATGAGCAGGAACCATTGGTTGGCATTGGTTGGGCACCTCCCACACAGCCAGTGTCCTGCAGGTGCAGAGGGCTGGGTGTGGATAGAACCTCGGTCCTTCCTTCACTCTCTTGTGTCTGACGAGATGCCTTGCTAAGATTCCCAGCCCCCAGGCGCTAACCTTTGTCTCTCCCAGAGGCTTGATCTGTGGTGCCATAACCTCACAGTACCTTCTTGAGAAATCAAGGATCGTGTTTCAGGTGAGTCCCAGCATTTATTGTGCCACCCCCCCACTGCCATCACCATGTCACGATGCTTCCTTAGTCTTGCCCTTCTTGTTTCATAGGCCAAAAACGAAAGGAACTATCACATATTCTATGAGATGCTGGCTGGCCTTCCTGCTCAGCAGAAGCAGCAATTCTGCCTTCAAGATGCAGAAACGTACTATTACCTGAACCAGGTATGGAGCCCACGTCCGCACGTGAGCTCAGCAATCAGGCCCACTTGATTTATTATTTCTACGGTGCAGCACCCGAAAGCCCCAATCAGGATCTGGGACCCATTGTCCCAGGCCCTGTACAAACACACAGGCAGACGCAGCCCCGCTTCAAACAGCTGACAACCTGCAATTCCATTTCTTTCTGGAGCTGTGATAGCACCCATGTCCTTGTGACATTCAGGTTGCTTCGCTCCCCAGATCGGTAAATCCCCAGTCCCAGTAAATTTGCATCCCCTGTCGTGGCTAATTCCTGGGCCTCAGGTTGCATGTTCCCCAGATATGCTTTGACTGGGACCTTCGCAGGGGGGTAACTGCGAGATTCCTGGCAAGAGTGATGCTGAGGATTTCCGGAGGTTGCTCAGTGCCATGGAGATCCTGAACTTCAGCACCGAGGACCAGAACAGCATCTTCCGAATTCTGTCTTCCATCCTCCACCTGGGGAACGTCTACTTTGAAAAATATGAGGTAATCGTCTCCCGGGGGAAGACGGGAAGGGGACCCAGGGCGCAAAGAGATACTGATAGCAAGGACTTTAGATGCATGCTGCGAACTAGGGCTTTGATCCAATGTCCGTTGGAGCCAATGCAAAGACTCCAGATTGGCTTCCATGGAATCTGGATCAGACCCTAAGCCCCTCTGCAGGGAGGAAGCTCTCAAAAGAAAATTGAACCCAAGATTTTAGCTTCTCTCCATTTTGTGGAATCTGCAACCAAAAAAAAATCCCTGGCCCACAGAGGATCCGGGCACCATGGGACATCTGAACTACAACGCCCTGGAAGCCCCACAGCAGCTTTGGCAGACGCAGTTCCACATCAAACCGGCAGACACAAAATGTTTTGATGTTTCCAAATCAACACTTTTCTGAACTTGTCGTTCTGCAAAACAAATTGAGATTTCAACATTTTGGGTCCATCTGGGACAAAAACCAGCATCAGAATATCAACCTTTCCCACGGCAGGGACGTTCTGATTCTTCCTCTAGCGCTAAACAATAATGTTGACAATGGGCCAGATCCTCCGCTAGTGTAAATCAGTGTAGCTCAAGTGAAGTCAGTGCGTCTATGAGCACCAGGTCAATGGAGCTACACTGATCTACTCCAGCTCAGGATCAGGGCCTATATTCATAAACAGAGATGGACAAGGCCTTCAGTATGAGGTCCCCTAGGTTGTCTCTGGGTACCAACTGTGCTGGCCCCTGGGAAGTTGCCTGCCAACGGGCTGTTTTTGCGTTTCACAGACAGACTGCCAGGAGGTCGCATCGGTGGTGAGTGCAAGAGAGATCCGTGCGGTAGCCGAGCTGCTCCAGATCTCTCCAGAGGGGCTGCAGAAGGCCATCACGTTCAAAGTGACGGTAAGGCCCACGGATTCGAGACGGCCGGTTGGACAGCTGTGTGATGTGGCTAGAGGGACATCTGGGGAAGGTAGACGGCAGTGAAGAGAGTCTCTGCTCTGAGATCCTGCTTACTTCATCGCCCCGCAGGGGACCGGTGTATTTTCAGTATCTGATCTGCCAGCAGGACACCCTTGCTTTGCTTTTCATGTTTGTGGAACATCCCTGTGGAGTCCTCTGCCCCCCTCATCTCTCTCTCCATTTATACAACATCTAAGTGTGTCTTGGTATCTCCCGCCAATGGACAGTCACCAGACCTTTGTTCCATCCATTTCTGAAGGACTCAAGAGATGCTCCCTGTGGACGACTGTCCCACCCTCTAATAGGCCTCACTGACAGTGAAGCTTTCTCTGAATTTTCCTTCACCCGGTTTCATCTCATCCCTCTTCTCCCGCTCTCCATCTGCCTGGTTCAGAATGGAGCAGAGCATGCTGGGGCTTGTAGTCTCCCGTGGGCCGCATGTCTGCATTAAGAGATGACGGCAGCCCCACACCGGCTTTAGGGAGGATTTCACCTGTTTGTTTGGTTGGTTTTGCCCTTCTCAACAGGAAACGCTGAGGGAGAAGATTTTCACCCCCCTCACTGTGGAAAGTGCCGTTGATGCCAGGTAAAGGGATTCTTTGTTAGGAGATGCTGAGATCTGTCTCTGGCTTGTCAGCACGCCGCACACGGGGACCGAGGGATTCAGAATGAGGAAAGGCTGGCAGGCAGTGGCAACTTATCAAAACATGTAATAAACACAGCCAGATGCTATGGACAGGGTGGCAAGCAAGCCCAGCTGTCCTGCTTTAGGTGGGATTAGCAGACCAATCTACTTTGTACCTTCCCTATCTACTTATACGCCCCCCCACTTCCCACAGTATCTGAACACCTCGCAATCTTTACCTGTCAGGTAGGCCATGGCTATAGTTCCCATTTATAGATGGGGCATGGAGCCACAGAGAGACTAAGTGACTTGCTCGAGGTTGTACAGGGCACCTGTGGCAGAGCAGGGAATCGAATCCAGGTGTCCCAAGTCCAAGCTAGCGCCCTTACCACTAGGTTTTCCTTCCTCTCTATCCGTTGTGTTATCCTTCCTTTCCCTTCCCTGTTGTAAGACATGTCAAATGTCCTACTTCTTCCCATGCTATCCCACCCTGTGGCTAACCAGTGCAAAGGCAGGAAACCTTCCCCCTTGTGACTGACACAAACCCCGAGAACGCTGAGAGCATTTTTTCAATGTGTGTCTCAAAACTGAGGGCATTTTGAGACTCTTTGTTCTGCCTGGGACCCACACTTGTGTGAGAAATGCCCCAGAGCACAACCTGGTTTTACTTGGGCTATATTTTTTCAGCCTTGCAAAATTGCCCTGGAGATTTATCAGCCCAGGCACACAATTGACGTGCCCTCTTTTTTCTAGGACGATGCAAAAAATGAATCATGTGTTACCCACCCATCAGGTAGGGCCAGATCCTCAGCTGGTGTATATCAGTGTCACTCTCTCGGCTTCAGTGAAGTTGTGGCCATTCACACCCACTGAGGATCTGGCCTGAAGAATTTTACAACGCCGCCAGGTGGAAATAGACATCCTTTGGTTTTGGGTCTGGCCATCTGGTTACTTTCCACTATGCACCAACTATTTCGATCATTTTATTGATGCATGTAGCTCAAAATGCTACTGAGGGGCTGGCAGATTTCAGCTGGGTCATGCCCAGGGCAGACTGGGACAGAGGGACTGGGGTGGTGGTGGGAGGGAGCGCTACCAGACTCCCAAAGCAACTGGGTCTCAATCTGGCAGCCCCTTCCACATGTTCCGCTGTATCCCAACAGCTGTGCTTGTCGCCTCCTTTTCCCAGAGATGCCATTGCCAAGATCCTGTACTCCCTGCTCTTCAGTTGGCTCACGGACAGGATTAACAAGCTGGTCTACCCTAAAAAGGAGGCGCTTTCCATAGCCATTCTGGATATCTATGGGTTCGAGGTGAGCAAGCAGAGGGCTGCATGTGAGATGCTGGCCCATCCCTGATGTTCCTATAGCATAGGGGTAGGCAACCTATGGCCCGGGTGCCGAAGGCGGCACGCAAGCTGGTTTTCAGTGGCACTCACACTGCCCAGGTCCTGGCCACCGGTCCGGGGGGCTCTGCATTTTAATTTAATTCTAAATGAAGCTTCTTAAACGTTTTAAAAACCTTATTTACTTTACAGACAACAATCGTTTAGTTCTATATTATAGCCGTATAGAAAGAGACCTTCTAAAAACGTTAAAATGTATGACCGGCACGCAAAACCTTAAATGACTCAATGAAGACAATGGGGGGGAGGGCTAGCTCAGTGGTTTGAGCATTGGCCTGCTAAACCCAGGGTTGTGAGTTCAATCCTTGAGGGGACCATTTAGGGATCTGGGGCAAAAATCTGTCCGGGGATTGGTCCTGCTTTGAGCAGGGGGTTGGACTAGATGACCTCCTGAGATCCCTTCCAACCCTGATATTCTATGATTCTAAGACTCGGCACACCACTTCTGAAAGGTTGCCAACCCCTGCTATAGCATATCAGGAGAATCGTAACGTGGGACTAAGGGTAGCCTTGGTGTGCGTATGGGCATCTCCCGCTGAAGCCAATGCGGGTCAGGCCAGGCCTGAATCCAGCACCTCATGAGCTCAGCAGATGACACCGAAGGCCCTGGTGGTACAAATGTGTGTTACCAACTTGTACTGGCACCAGTGTGACCTATTGGGAGCCACAGCGTGACTTACTGGGACCGTGGGTCAGAAACAAAAGACATTGTGAATGGAAATGATCAAACCATAAATTAAACTCTCCTGCCCCCAACTCCCCGCTGGGATTCACAGGAATCCCATCCATGACCTGAGATGCGCCCTCCTGATCTCTGATGCTGCCGCAACCCCCGCAGCCCCCGTGGGCTAGCGGCCCCAGGGCGTTTCACTCACCAATTTTCTAATGACACCTGTGGAGTTATCAATGGCCAGGGCTCCCCCTTCGCCCTCCATGGAGCCTGGCCAGCATTTCCCTGCATGCTTTGCGCTTTGCAGCCGTGCACTCAAAACAGTCCCAACTCAGGGCCAGATCCACAGCTGGTGTAAATCATTGCTGCTCTGTTGGGTCACCGCCGAGGTGTCTTACTGTAAAACGGTGGATCTGTTTAACATGCGTCTGGTTCCATCCTCGTGGGTTTTAATCCAGTACGGGCCTGGGTGACACATGCCTCGTTGTCCTGTAAACACGCCAGCGGCAGAGAATCCAGGGATGGTTTGGAGACGTGGATGGTTTTGCCGCCTGGGGCACGATGCTCATTAAGGTCTAGGCCCAAAGCTGCCACTTCCAGTTTCTTCCCATCCTCAGCAGAGCAAATCCCCCCTGAACGGTTTGTCAGGCCCCAGGCACTGATGTCTCCAGAATTGGGGGTGTTTGTGTGTATTCTGGCTTCGCCACCCCCAGCTCCGCTGATCCTCACCCACCACCCCAGCCTGCCCTGATCTCTAGCTCTGTCTGCTGTCTTGCTCCGGAGCCCCTGCTCCCCACCCCCAACAACTCCCCGTACACACACCCCCCCCCGCCGCGAACTTCCTATGCATAAGAACACAGGAGGTGCCAGGCGGGATCAGACCATCTAGGTCAGTATCCTCTACCTACGCAATCCAATTCTTTCCTATGCCAGCCCTGGGCTGTCTCGCTGTATATCATTACCAGCCGTTCCAGTCCAGCTATACCAGTGCATCTCAGTCCTGATCCCCCTCTCTCCCACTCATGGGGCCTCCTCCGCTGCTTGCCCCTCAAACCCTGACCTCCAGTACCCCTTGCTATTTCAGTCCTGGGCCTCTCCTCGAGAGATGCAGCTGGTTGTGTCCAACGTTGCCATTTTACATGGTCCTTCTCTGGTGAGCACCGATGGGAACAAGGCTGTGGCCCAGGCAAATGCATTTGCAGTTTGGAGCAAAGCCAGGATTAAACTTCTAGGTCCAGGGGTGAAAGTTTGCTGTGCTCATTCACTATCCTTTAGCCCTGCTGCGCCCGCTTCCAGGCATGCTTTACATGGGCGTGTATTTTCCACAGGACCTCAGCTTTAACAGCTTCGAGCAGCTATGTATCAATTATGCAAACGAATATCTGCAATTCTTCTTCAACAAGATCGTCTTTAAGGAGGAGCAGGTGAGCTGGGGAAGCTGGTTGGAATTGGGGTAGCGCCTGGCCTCTTGCTTCAGTGCACGCTACCTGTCAAACCTGCAAGTGAGAGAACAGTCCGGTCCCCCTTCATAAAAACCAACCCCTCAGGGAAAGCTACACTGGATGCAACCATTCCTAGTCCCCAGAGCTTACTTCAAAGCCAGCAGGGCGGTCTCCAGGATTATTTGACACCCCTCATTCTTTGAAGGCCTTTGGTTGATCCCTGTGCCCTCTGGATAATGGGGGTTCTTCTGGAAAAGGTTTGCCTAGTAAGAACTATGTCAAGGCCAAATAATCATAATAAAGACCTATGAGCCGGCAGATTAAGCCCGAATCACTGAGGCCTTTTGCTTCCGCATGACCTTGCATACGCTTCCTGCAGGAGGAGTACGTCCGGGAACAGATAGAGTGGAAAGAAATCACCTTCAGCGACAACCAGCCCTGCATCGATCTCATTGCTCAAAAGCCACATGGGATTCTGAGGATCCTGGATGATCAGAGCTCCTTCCCTCAGGTAGTGGCGCTGCAGAGGGCTCAGCGTTGCCAGCGGCTTATTGGCAAAATGCTGTTCATTTTTAAAAGTGATTATGGCAAGCTAACCAGAGAGGCGAGTGCCGTTAGCTCCTGCAGATGCAGTCCCTGGGTTCATTCGGATGCCTTGATCTCCGTAAAGGCAGACAGCCTTATTTATATACTCTGATCCTTGTGTACCTTAGCTTTAGAGAGGGATCCTGGAGGCATCCTATGGGCACACGAAAGGCATTGGTTCAAATTCAGAGCTGCTGTGTGAGCAGGTGCAATTCCACTGTCCCCCCACCAGGGATGAAGGTGGCCAAGCAGGGCAAATAAACTGGAGCAAGGGCAGGATTGGAGCAAAACTGCCTTGAAACAGGAATTCCTTCCTCTCCGTGGGTGCATGTGCGCACACCAGGGCCCCCTACTGGATGGAATCAGAGTTGCACAACTGTGTGTCACAGACCCTGTGCTGCTGGATGAGATTCTCCTTTAGCTCGCACGGTTTTGGCTATCAGGCTGTGTCCACACTGAAGCTGGAGATGTAATCTCCAGCTCAGGCAGCCATACCTGCGCTAGCTCTGACAGAGCTGGCGTGCTAAACATAGCAGTGTAGCTGCGGCCGCATGAGGGGTGGGACAAGTTAACCTTCCCGAGTACAATCCTGTCTGAAACCCTAGGAATGTACTCGGAGCAGCTAATCTCTCCCATCGCCCATTCAGCTGTGGCCACGCAGTTAAGGGCATGTCTACCCAAGAAATGACACGCTAACTCCAGTGTAGACACACCCTTCGAGCAGGAGGGTCTGCAATTCAGCTGCTGTGTTGCTGTGGAGTTGTGAGGGGTCATGGGGACCCCTGTGCATCATGGAGAGGTTCAGGAAGTTCCAGGTGGCCATAGATTGTCTAGAGTGGCTTCCAGCCAGGGATCTCAAAGAGCTTTTGCAGATGTTAATAAATGACACCTCCTAAGCCCCCTAGGAAGGAGGGGACACTGAGACATGTAGCGGTGAGGTGACTTGCTTGAGGTCACACAGTGATTCAGTGGCAGACCTGGGAACAGATCCCCAAAACCCGACCGTCTGACTCAGAGTTCTGTGCTCTAGCCATTAGACAGTGCTCCTTCCAGCTTGTTGCCCCAAATCCAGGTGAGTTTTATTTGCTTATAGGTTTCATTCCAAATGTTTTTCCAGCTCTGCCAAGTGCTCCCTGTGATGTAATACCCCTCACCTGTAGGCCAATGCTGAACATGGTGATGATGAGTGCAGGTATCAGAAGTTCCTTCCTGACACTTCAGGCTATCAGTTACATGCCCTGAAGCATGAATTTTTTTCCCACCCCAAAGTTAATATGAACGGCTACAAGTGTTACCAATGCTCATATAATCATCCAGTCCTCGATCTGGCTGCCTGCTGATGCAGAGCAGTCCATGGGGGCTGGTTAAACAGTGATAAAGGCTGGCTAGAAACAGTGCGGCTGCCTGCTTGTGGCTGTAGCCTGCAGGCAGTCAGGTTGCCTAATTAACCCCGCACTCCTATTCCTACTTCCAGGCCACCGACCATACCTTCCTCCAGAAGTGTCATTACCACCACGGCTCCAATGCATTATACACCAAACCAAAGATGCCTCTCCCAGAGTTCACCATCAAACACTTTGCTGGCAAAGTAACCTACCAGGTGAGTGGCTGGAGAACTGGGATTCGGAGTAGGACCAGTGCTCTTTAACCGCCAGCCTGGCTCTCTTTCCCACAGCTGGCCAGCGAGCGCTAGATCCTCTGGTGTAAATCACAACTCCAGTGGCCCTTCATTTCTAGATCTTCCATGTCATACCCGCTGGGTTTGAGTAACTGGGGAGGGATCTGTTTATTTTTCCAGGTGCACAAGTTCCTGGATAAAAACTATGATCAAGTTCGCCAGGACGTGCTGGACCTTTTTGTCAACAGCAAAACCAAAGTAAGAGTTCACGCTGGCTTCTCTTTGCTGCCATTGCTGGTGGCGCTGGCTGGGAGAGTGGCAGGGAGGGCACTAGCGATGGATCTGGGGGTTGCCTGATGGGATGGTACAGCAGGATTGCATTTTCTATAAGAGGCAGTGTGACCTATTAGACAGAGCAGTGGATTGGAGTCAGGCGATCAGGATTCTAGTCCCAGCTCTGTCTCTGGCCTATCAGGAATAGACTTCTCTCTGGACCTCAGTGTCCCCATACGATACTGACCTTTGTAAAGTGCGTCGAGGTCTACGGATGAGAAGAGCTGGGTGTTATTGTTACATGTACTGCCACTGGCGGGACTCCCTTTCCCACTCAGAGCAGTGACTGCATTGAACATAATTAGCTCCTCCAATGTTCACGGGGCTGCCATGTGATTTCCCCCCTTGGAACTCTGTCATGCCTCTGGGCAGTATTTGTTTAGCTTGCTCTCTGCCAATCAATACAAGTCCTGGCTGCCATGGAAATCGGAGCTAGAGAAGGCCTGTGATGTCACCTCCTTCTTCCCGGGGGTTTGGGGCAGGATCAGTCTCTATAATAGGTTTCCCAGGAATTTGTCCAGCTGCTGAAGTCCATTCAAGAAGCTTGTGTGGATATGAGTGGACTTGGCACTAGAGAGGTCTGTGAGTAACCCAGAACACGGATACACCTGCCAACCTATGGGCACTTGTTAATCCACCTGGCAAGTTGGCCAACGTGGTTTGTAAATGTACCACCTTCCCCCAAGACCGTGCTCCTGGGCAGGGTGGATCAAATGTAACAGACGAGGCCACTCTAGGATTTTGAAGACTACTCGTATGCAGATGCTAGAGACAAATACTTTAACAACCACTGAACTCCACTCATTCCTGACACACTTGCCCTATCTCCCTCCAGCTAACTTGGCCAATAGCACTTTGCTCTTCCATAGCGCCTTTGGTCTGAGTATCTCAGACAGATCACGTGACAAAAAACAAATAAGCTTCCCAGCGTCCCATGAGGACACAGTATGGGTGATCCCATCTTGTAGGTGCGGAAACTGAGGCACAGAGCAGGGAGGTGACTTGCCCAGGATCACACAGTAAGTCAGTGACAGGTCTGGGAAAAGAACCCAAGAGTCCTGACTCCCATTCCTGTGCTTTAAGCGTTAAACCCTCTGAGGATACACTGTGGACATAACGAACAGTAATAACCCCTAGCTCTTATCATCAGTAGATCTCAAAGAGCTTCACAGAGGAGGTCGGTATCATTATGCCCATTGTACAGATGGGGAAACTGAGGCACAGAGTGAGGCAGTGACTTGCCTAGGATCACCCAGCAGGCCAGTGGCAGAGCTGGGAATCAATCCAGGCCTCCTGAGTCCCAGTCCAATGCTCTATCCACTAGGCAACACCACAGAAAACATCTCAACCGAGCCCTATTCCATCCTGCTTTTTAACCACGCCCCTCCCTTCCAAGGTGGTGGCCAACCTCTTCTTCGGCCATGCCCAGTTGGTGGCCCAGCAGAGGACCATGATGGGGAAGAACAGCACAGTCACCCGGCGGTATAAAGCACCGACGGTGGCAGCTAAATTCCAGCAGTCACTCCTGGACTTGGTGGAGAAGATGGAGAGGTGAGTGAGCAGGGAGCTTAAAGAAACGGATTCAGAAATTGCCTATTCAGGGGGGGGAAAAGGGCTGGTGGGAAAGATCCGGCAGCTCCTCATCGTTCCACAATCCGGAGTGGGGTATAGACCTGCCCAAAGAGTCGCCCCACAGAGTCCTGGTCTGGAACACGGAGGGAAGGGATCTTTCCAGGACATTGTAACCACATAGTTGCAATACACTGGTCTCCAGAACCAGAAGCTAGGACTCTCACGGGGCCTAGGGGAGTTAGGTGCCTTGGGAAATCCCTGCCGGCATGGCTGACGTGCCCAGAATGATCTTTGGGGAAGACAGCTGGTCAGCTACTCGGCTTGCTTTCACGGTGGCCGTGTGCAGCAGAGACCTCGCAGCCCTTCCCGGGAAGCCCTGTGACCTCCAAGCTCGTGGGTTCCTTTGTCTCAGCTCCCCCAGCGGATAAACGTGTCTCTCTCTCCGATTCAGGTGCAACCCGTTCTTCGTCCGCTGCCTCAAACCCAACAACAAGAAGGTAAAAACAGGCCACGCGGCTGGGGTGGTGGTGGGGGGGCTGGATGCAGGGTTAGCAGTGCCAAGGGCACGTCTCATTGACAAAACGGGGGCCAAAGTGACATGCCCAAGGCCACCCTGTGAGCCGGTGGCGGGGTCCAGGAATGGAAGCTGCAGTTCCTGACTCTCAGCCCTGGGCTTTACCCACTAGATCCTGCTTCTTCTTAGCACAGGGAGTAAGGCATGGGTGTCCCGTATGGGCATTGCGATAAGTGCGCCCAACCCTGGCTGGGGTCACAGTGGGAGGGGTGCTGTAAAGGGAGGGGGTTGCTGGTAGCCCAGTGCCTTTCAGTTCTGTGCCACGCGGCCTGCAGTGCACTGGGCAGCTCCAGTGACACTGTTCCCCAGCCTGGATCCCATCGCTCCAAAGGCCGTTTGGTGAGATGTCTGGCCTGCAGCTGTCTCGTTGAACGAAGGGAGACAATGCACCGAGACTGGACCTCACCCATTGTCTGGCTTGTTTGCTCTTGAGCAAACACACTTCCTGCTCTTTACTCACTCCCTTTCCCGGTTACCCTCCCAGCTTCCTTTGAGAGACGAGCCGGCTGCTGGGCCAGAGAGCCGATAACACGCTGCATTGAGGTGTGTCTCTGGCCTCACGCAATGTGTGTCCAACTGCCCTCGGCTGGCTGGAATCTCCAGCCTGCTCAAGTGTGTGTGATCACATCGCCCTCTAGAGGCTGGAATTGTGAGAGCCTATAAGCCTTAATATCACCACACAGACTGCGCATTTGGCCGCTTAAGACACATCCGGCCGGGGTGGCACCAACCACTTTGTTCCTGGAATAGCATTTGTCACAGCCGAGCAGATATAAGCTCTTTGCAAACGTGCTGCTTGACGCTTTGTCACAAAGAGTGAGGCGAAAGAGCCCTGTCCAGAGAGGAGAATCCCCTTGGAGATCCGGCTTGAGTTGCTGGTAGCAGGAGGTTTGCAAGCAGATGAATTGCACAAAAGCATTTCAATAACATCAGTATTGCGATGTTCTAGCCATGCTGTCTCGTATGCAAGAGCTTCCGCCTCCTCACTGCCTTCTTCTCCCCCAGACCTCTCCCCAGCCCGTGACACTCCCTGCACCTAGTCTCTGACTCAGCAAAGCTCTTAAGGAAATGTGTAGCTTTAGGTCCCGCTGAAGTCAGTGGCCTGGAGTTGAGCGTGTGTTTGAGTGCTTTGCTGACTCGAAGCGCCGAGGATGCTGCATTGTCCCCACGCAGCCACCAGCCCTGTCTTCCTCGCTCCTGCTTCACTCACGAGTTGTCTGGTCCCCAGTGCCCGATCCCCATTTGGCTCGAACAGGCGATTAAAGCCCCCCCGCCTTTCCCCTTGCTCAGGAGCCAGCTGTCTTCGAGGCGGACATTGTCAGCAGCCAGCTCCGGTACTCTGGAATCCTCGAGACCATCCGCATCCGCAAAGAGGGCTTCCCGGTTCGCATCCCCTTCCAGATCTTCATCGACAGGTGCTGCTGCCTGGAGTTGCAGATTCCAGACTGAGAAGCTTTGGGATGGGGGTGGGAAGGGGCATTTCCCAAGAGTGAGCTCGAGCAGACGGAGTGGTGGGAAGGGAGGGCAAGGTAGATTCCACACAGGGGGAACACATTGTAGAGAGCAATCCAGTTCCCCCCCCCCCGCCCGCAGACGGCTCCTAACAGGTCTCCTCCCTCTCTAATTTAAATGAGTACCGGGGAGCATGTCTCCCGGATTTCTGTTCTGGGCCCTGTTCTTGGCTCTGATGTGGGTGGAATTACTCAAGAGGGTTTGACTTGACTTGAGTCTCTGGGTCTCATGCATTAACTGTGCTCCCGGGGCTCTCTAGGTACAGGTGCCTCGTAGACATCCGGCCTGGCATCACCCCCGATGGTGTGAGCTGCGTGGAGGTGCTGAAGAAGCTGTGTGCTGTGAGTCCCACCACGTACTGCATTGGAGTCAGCAAGGTACGGCTGTTGCCTTTCCCGTTGACCATGGCCAAGAGTGTCTGGGTAGCCTGGACCGGGGAAGGGAAATCAAGGGCAGGGTGCTGTATGGATTCTGCCCATGGTGAGGGCTTTTGGCTGGCTGGGAATGGGATGATGTCTCAGCCTGGGGGAACCCGGCACCATTTTGTATCCTGTGGGCCACACGGTCTGTTTGCAGGGACTGGCAGGGGACGCTACCTCTGAAGGTTCCCCTGCATCAACCAGCCACTCCAGGAAGGGGCTGGGGCGGCCGGGCGACATTTGTCAAGGTTGGTGGACTGTTAGGGTCAACGCCTGCAAACAGAGCGAAATCCCAAACCGTAATGACGGGCCTGAGGTCACATTTTCAGTTGCGCCCACACAGCGGGCACGTGCAGCCATGCCCACGGAACGGCGTGCCCTGCTTGCACGTGGCACTGCACTTGTGAATCAAGTAACTGCACTCACCAGTGGCCCCTGGTGTGCAGAGTGGGTTCTCCGCATGAACGCTTACCTGCTTGCCTGTGCAGTCCTGGCAACGCCGTGCGCACCATTGCACATGCACTTTTAGCACGTGCATGATATGGAAATTAAACTCTAACCCTAACGATATTTCCTGGGGCTGCCCTGTCTGTCTGTCTGCATCCATCTGTTGTCTTGTGTCTTCAGCTTAGATTGGAAACTCTTTGGGGCAGGGGCTGTGTGTGGTTCTGTGTTGATACAGTGGGGTCTTGGTCTCTGACTGGAGCTCCTACATGCTACCGCCATACAAATAATAATAATGCTCATTATAATAATAATCCAGCCCAGACTGTGCAACACTCGTTTGTAGGAATCTCATCAGTTCTTGCCTGCCAGAGGCCTCCTGGAAGAAGGGTGCTAAACCACGCCAGAAGTCAGTATCGCCAACCCCAGAAGTTGAAAAAGCATGAGTCAGACCCCCCAACTATCATGTGATTGGCCCCAATATTATGAGATTTAAAAAAAATATTATATTATGTTTTTGATTTGGCTTTGATTTTTGAATTCCCCATGTGTGTGGGGCAGTTACTGTGTGTTATCTCCCCCTCCCTGTCCATGGTGTGTGTGGGGGAGTTACTGTGTGTGATCTCCCCCTCCCCGCCCATGGTGTGTGTGAGGGAGTTACTGTGTGTGATCTCCCCCTACTCCCCACTCCCGGGTGCTGGCGGGTCAGTTACAGTGTGTGATCTTCCCCTCCCCCCAAGGTGCATGTGGGGCAGTTACAATGTGTGATTGGCCCCTGCCCCCTCCCCAAGGTGTGTGTGGGGCAGTTACAGTGTGTGATTGGCCCCTGGCCCCTCCCTGGGGTGCGTGTGGGGCAGTTACAGTGTGATCTCCCCCTGCTCCCCCCCCCGGGGTGCGTGTGGGGCAGTTACAGTGTGTGATCTCCCCCTTCTCCCCCCCCCGGGGTATTTGGGACAATTCGTGTACCCAGTAAGGTGGTCTGGCTCTGCTGCAGAAGCTCTTGCTGTTGCTTGATGGTGCAGAGCTTCCAGCTTCTCCCCAACCCCAAATTCTAATGAATGAATTCTCTGTTCCTCCCCCAGCCCCACATCAACTCTGCCCCCACAACCCGCAGCCTCACGTGCAGGTGCAGGGACTCCTCACCGCCCCGCTTTTCAGCCCTGGTGTAGCAAGGATCGAGAGGGCCGGGGGGGAAGGGGAAGAGCACGGAGCAAACGGACCCAGTGCTCATAGGAGGGAGGGGCAGGAGGAAGCAAAAAGAACCCAGCAGCTCAGCCCTACTCAAAAAACTCCTCTTGGTTCATGGGCCAGAGCAACGGGGGAGTTCTGCCTGCATCTGCGGGAGCTGCGATTGGCTGCCCTTCCCCAGGAGGCGGGGCAGTGGGGAAGGCAGCCAGTCAGGGGATGTGTGTCCTCCCAGGCAGGGCTGAAATTGGCAAGAGAGCGGGAGCATCTCGTGTCATCGCCAGACATGCTCCAATCCCGGCTGAAATCCTTGCGTGGAAACGGCGTGAGCTGACAGCACCACGAATGAGCTGTCATTGCTGGCGTTCGTTATTCCTTGTCCTTTGGAAGCACCCAGAGGGCTCAGTCGGGCTCAGAGCCCCATTTTGCTGTGAGCTGAACAAAGCAGTGGGCTCCCCCCTCCCCAGATCATTCATGCGTTACACAGACCAAATCTGCTGCTGTCTCCAGCGCTGGGCGGGGGGGTTATTGTCTCTGCTGCCCCCAGGGTGGCCCTGGAATCCCCAAACATTCCCCTGTTTCAGGTGGGTTTCCTGTGGGAGCCATTTGCTATGGCTGAGCCCAGAGACCGCAGACTTTGTGTTGTGTGCAGTGCTTTTTTTAGAGTGTCTGCATATCTCTGGGGATTCAGTCCCTGGGTCTTTGTCCCCATGTCTTATAGCACTATTGTCCCCTAGAAACACCCCGCCTGCCGGGCCCAGTGGTTTATCCCCGGGTGGTGCTAGGGCCCGTATCATCGGTGTGTGATGGTCTGTCGGCTCTGATCACGACGGGGAAATTCAGACGTGCCCTTTGCTGTAGTGTCCACGGCCTCTTTGATAGCCAGACATGTTGGGAGTTGGAAACAGACGTTGTCATAGCAAGGGTGATTACAGCTGGCATTAAAGGGACACGGGCTGGCAGCGGGCACTGCTGGCACCCTGCATGGTAACTGTACTCTTGGCCTGATACAGCCCTGAAAATCCTGCTGCCAAACTGGCCCCCTGGTGCCCTGATTACGCGAGGGGGAGGTCAGAACATGGGCCCCCAGGCTCCTGCGGAAGCAGTGCACACTCGCCTGGGGGATGCACCCTCTCTCCCATAGCCACGCTCTCAAGGAGCGGCGCTAAGGGGCTGAATGGCCAGCTCTCCTCGCCCACAGGGAGGGTCACTGGCGGGCAAAACTTTCGAAGGCGAGGGGAGCCCTTGGTGTGCCAAGGAGAGCCCTAGCTGGGTGACCTCAGCTAAGCACAGCCAGGGAGCTGGGCTTGCTGGGTTCATGGGTGGGGGGTCCACTAGGCCACATTCTCCTCCCGCACCGACCTGCCGCGGGATGGAAACTGACGAGCGCCCCCCTGGCTCGAACACCTGCGTCTTCGGATGCCCTGGGCCACCACTGTGGTGCCCGACCGTACAGCCATGTGTCCCTGGGTTATCAACCCCTTGGCGTCCAGACTCGGTTGTCTTGCTATGCAGCCCCTCCGCAGAGTGGGATAACGAGATGTCCTGTGGCCATCTGCATGCAGCTCACGCAGGGCAGAGGGTTAAGCCAAACCCTTCCCAACCCTACTTTGCTAATTCGCATAGAGCCTGCCCCAGACCCCGCTGAAATCAACCAGAGTCTTTCCATTCCCTCCCACAAGCTTTGGGCCAGGCCCCTGGCGCGAGGAGCCGAGTTCCCCTGGAGGTCAGTGGGAGCTGCTGGGGCAGGAGCAGGATCAGCCCCACCCTGGCTGGTGTCCTTTGGGCAGGTGGGTGAGCTGGTTAGAAGCTGCCTCCCGCAGGGGTGGGCGCTGATACCTTTTCTCTCTCTCCCTGCTGCCAGCTGTTCATGAAGGAGCACCTGTACCAGCTGCTGGAGAGCAGGCGGGACCGTGCCCTGCACCGGGCAGCGCTCACCCTGCAGCACTACGCCCGCGCCTTCTTCATCAAGAAACGCTTCCGCTCGCTGCGCCGCAAGATCGTCCTCCTCCAAAGCCAGTCCCGGGGCTACCTGGCCAGGTGCTGGGGGGCGGGGCACTGCCGGGGTGCCGCTCTGCCCTGCCGCGCAGGGGCCCAGCCAGCCGCTCACTCTCCTGCTTGGGAAGGGCCGCGGGGACGAGCTACTGGGGGACAAGGCTGGGCCAAAGCCCACAGCAAGGCCCCAAGACCTGCGGGGCGCCCCTGGGCTGAGTTTCAAGTGGCCCTACGCTGAGCTTTGGGATCAGGCGGGATCCAGGCAAAGCCAAACCGTTTCAATGGGCAGAGAATAGACTGTTGGGGGCACGTTCCAAAACGAAACACGGCGGGGCGGGGAGAATCTGCCCCCGTTCCCCTAGTGTCAGGGCCTATGGAGCAGGCATGACCTTTTACCCCACGGCAACCCCCACTCCCGAGGACCTGATCCAAAGGCAAGATTCCCATCAACATCAGTGGGGTTTGGCTCGGGCCCTCAGCCTACATGTTCCATGTATGTAGAATCCTCGGGGTAGAGTCCAAACCAGCGGGGCACCTGCAAGCGAGCCAGCCTGCCGACCGTCATTAGAGGATGGGCTGAAAATCTCTGTTCTCTCCCTAACCATTCCAGCCAGAAGTTGGGGAGGGGAGGACGGGGAGCTGGACTGGGAGCATCGGGCAGCAGACCGGGGACAGGCTGATTCGGTGCCATGGGAGCACTCCAGTGTCACGCACTTATGGCCAGTGCTGGTCAGGCAGAGCCCAGAGTCCCTTCCCTGTGCCTGACGTCCCACCTTCCTGAGCTGAGCTTCTTGGGCAGTGCCAGGGATCTTCCCCCTGGGCTGGGATCCGTGTACGGGGCCCGGCGTAGAGACTGCCACCTCCCCCACTAACCACGGGGTTGCTGTCCCCTGCAGGCAGAGGTACAAGCGGCTGAGGAAGAGTCTGATCAAGTTCAGGTCCCTGGTGCACATGTACGTGAATCGCAGGAGGTACCTCAAGGTGAGAGCAAGCGGCTGGCGCGGCGGAATGGCAGGGGAGGGGAGGGGAGAGGGTCGTGCAATGTGCCGTGGGCCTGTATCGCAGGGAGCTCCGTTGGTCAGGACTAAGGGGCAACAGCAGAACTGTGGGGGGCTCAGGGGTGGAACAGCAGGTCAGGGTTGAGGGGCACTGGCAGAAACTTGCACTGTCTGTACTTGTCTCTAGCTTGTTCTGTAGCACCAAAGTCACCCAGAAAATCCAGAGTGTGTTTAGTGTAGGGGTGTCGTTACCAGTCGCCCAGGCAGAAGTAAGGACATAAGAACGGCCAAGCTGGGTCAGACCAATGGTCCGTCTAGCCCAGGATCCCGTCTTCCGATGGTGGCCGGCGCCAGATGCCCCAGAGGGAGTGTGAGAACAGGGCAATTTATCGAGTGATCCATCCCCTGTCGTGTCCTGGCTCCTGCGGTGTGTGGCGATGGTGCAGTCAAACGGTCTGGATGCTATGGGCCTGTGCCACACGGGGTTGGTGTTAGTGACAGTCGCTTTGCACAGGGCCAGCGACGCTGTGTCATTGTGCACAGCGGGTGTGACTCTGACCAGACGTGTGGGAGACACCGACATTGACGCAATTCACCCAAACCTGAGTCTTTGAAAGTGTGTCTGCTCCCTGCCCCGCCAACACAGGGGCATGGACTGGCTGTCCCATGGGCCAGGAACTGGTCTGCCTAAGAGGAGTGAGATCCCGATGCTGGCACGTGCCCAGAAGCCCCTGGAGGGATGTGAGATTGCAGAGGGAATGGCGTTCAGATCTTGGACTCCGGGAGCCCAGTCCCGTGGCCAGGGCAGGATCCGGTGGGCCCGAGCCAGCTGCTGGAACTCAGAGCATCCTGGATGCTCCTGGTCCGCTGTCAGGGGCGTCTGATCTTCTTCCCTGTGGTGCTGGCTGGGGTGTGTGTTCCCCTGCTGGCTGGGGACTCGGGAAGCTCTGGGTAGCCTGCAGTGGGGGCACAGAGCCAGCTGTGCCTGACCCCCCTGCCTAAGGGAAGGATGGAGGGCTGGGAGCTGCCGAGCATATGAGACGCTCCCCCAGGGTGAGAAGCCCCCAGTGGCCACTTGCCTTGCCTGTGCCAATGCCCAGCCCTGCCCCTGGCTCCCTCCTCACCATCTGGCCCCCAGTGCTCCCAGTTCAGAGCAGAGACTCTCTGGCTGCTGTGCTGGGGGCGGGGATCCGGGCCAGGCACCCGAGTGCCGGCGCAGGAGGATGGGTTAAGCCCTGGCTTAGCCAGCTCTGTAGGCAAACAAACAGAGCAGCCTCAAAGCAGCGAGTCCCGCCCCGGCCAGCTGTGCAGGGACTGGCACATCCCCTGCCCCAGGCCCGGCAGCAGTAGCAGCACTGGGCCCCCGGGAGCCAGTCGGGGCCCATGAAGAGCGTCCGGTTCCAGCTGGATGGCGAGGACGCGGTGAGTAACCAGCCACAGCGTCCGGCCCAGCCTAGCAGGGCAACGGGACGAGCCCAGGGGAGGTAGGGGCAGCCTCTGTGCATGTGCAGGAGGGATCCTGGTGCCCACTCCCAGGGCCTGCCTGTGCGCGGGCACCGGGTTGTCTTCTGATACCGATGGACCCCTTGGCTGGTCTCCTGCTGCTTTCGCCAGAGTGGATCCGAGCGCTCAGGAGAGGGAGAGGATAGAGCCAGGCGTGGTGCAGGCAGGGGCTGGGCGCCCTTCCCGCACCCAGCTCTGCTGATGCCCCCCCAATACAACCTGCCCCCCCTGCTATCCCAACGCTGGGCTCCCCCTCACCGCTCTGCCGAGGGGGTGCTGGCAACAGGGGAGCCCCTCCAGGTCATGCGTGTCCATGTGCTGTCCGGCCACCAGCCCAGCCTGCTGTACCTCGCGGTACAGAACTCTGATCCCGCTGGTTTGGCTTCATTCCCGCGTCATCCTCCCGCGCCCCTCAAATCCCGGCCAGATTCCTACCGGGCAGGCGACCCGGCCCAGGCAACCGGAGCCATTCGCACAGCAGCCGGCTGGGTGTGTGTCGCTGCTGCTCTCCACGTGCCAATGTGCTCTGGTTTCAGAGGAAGGAGGAGGCTCGCAGGCGGGCGGAGGAGGAGAAGAAAAAGGCTGAGCAGGTAATGCCGGGTGGGCTCAAGTGCGCGCATGCTGGTGCGTGGACGTGTGAAGTGTGTGTGTAGCACATGCCATGGCCGGGTGCATGAGTGCACTGGTGTGTGGGTGTGATGGATGCATGCTGATGCGGGTAGAGGGCACACGTTGGATGTCTGTGGAGGATGCATGCCAGTGCCACTCAGTGTGTGTGTGTGTGTGTGTGTGTGTGTGTGTGTGTCGTCCCTGCGTGGGCTGTGTGGTGGGTGAGGTGTGCCTGGGCTGGGGGTGGGGTTACGGTAGCTGCCCACCGGAACAGTTCTGGGTCACGTTCTGCTGTTGCCCACGTCAGCTGGACTCACCCCCATCCCTATGCTTGGCTGGGATGGTGGAAGAGCTCAGGGCCCGGCTGAGCGAAGCAGGTGGCTGTCTCTCCATCTCTGGGCCCTGCTGCGGCTGGGTTCTGGGAGCCCAGGCTGCGCTTCCCCCGCACAGGGGATTGGACCTGGAGAGGTGACGTGGGGGGAGCCTGTTAGATCCTCCAGTGCTCCCGCTCAGCGCCGGAGGAGCACATGGACGGCGACGGGTGTCTCTGTGCTCTGCTCTCAGGAGCTGACCAAGAGGGAGGTGGTGGATGTAACGCACCTGGAAGTCCCCGCTGAGTTGGCGGGGCTGCTGGAGCTGGCGGCAGGTAAGCGCTCATTTCCCACACAGGGCTGGTTTGGAGCAGCTGGGAACGGTCCACAGGGGATCCAGGCCACTAGCAAAGTCACCTTCACCACCACTGGCCTCCTGTCTCTGTCCCATAGGGACACCCTGATCCCATGGGGATCTGGCCCCCAGTGCTCCCAGTGCTCTTCACCCAAGACTGCCCTGCTCAGCGTCTGCCTGCTCTTGTGCAGCTCAGATGCCAGACTCCACCCCAGAGGTGGTTGCCCTGCAGTGGTAGGTGAGGAGCTCCCTAAATCTAAGGGGGGGTCAAATTCTAGCCAACTACTGCACCCCTAGCACCCCATGGGAGTCACGAGGGTGCAGTGGAGAAAAAGGACCTGTCCCCCAGCCTGTTAAATGCCTTGGGACCCTCAGGGAGAAAAACCGGCTAGAGATGGAAGCTGTTATCATGACCAAGTCGGCAACTAGAGGGACCTCTTCCCAGAGAGGAGGCAGCAGGGGGCCAACCACACTCAATCCTAGGCAGAGCTGTCTAGTGGTTAGAGCACGGGACGGGGTTCAGGATGCCTGGGTTCTATTCCTAGTTCTGTCACTGGCCTCTGGGTCTCAGTTTCCCCCTGGAATACTGTGAGGATTAGCTGGGCCATGTTGGTCTAGGCGTCTCCAGAGAGAGACAGCGAGCGCTGTCTCGGCCCTGCCCCCAGAAGGAGCTCAGCCCAGCCTCCTGGCTGCACCAACGTGGGTTTGATTCTGCCCTGCCCTGGAGCCGAAGGATCCCAGGCTGAGACACCCCAGGGAGCTTCTGTTTGTTGCCCACCTTTATTCCCTAAGCCAGTGGCAGGGGCTGGAGCCTCTCCTCCTCCCAACCCCACTGACTCCTGGTGCCTCTGTTCTCCCCCAGCTCACAAGCCGGTGAATGCTCAGTGCGTCGTTCCGGTCCCTGCGCCCAAACTGCAAACGGACTCCCGGCTCACCCTGCCACTCGACATCAACAACTACCCCATGGCCAAGTATGTGCGGGTCCACTTCCAGGTAAGGGAGGCACCGAGCAACCCCCTGAGCCACTCCGCGCCCTCGAAAGAACGGGCAGTGTAAGGAGGGAGGGACACTCAGTAGTTAGCTGGGACCGGACGCCAGGACACCTGGGTTCTATTCCTGTCTCTGGGAGGGAGTCAATCCTCTGGGAGTTAGAGAGTGTGCTGGGAGTTCAAACGCCAGGGCTCTCCTCCAGCTCAGGGAGGGAGTGTTACGTGATTACAGCAGGGGCCTCGGAGTCAGGACTGCTGGAGTCTCTTCCTGCCTCTGCCACTGACTCGCCGAGTGACCTTGGGCAAGTTACTTACCCGTGCTTTCCCCAGCTGCAAAATGAGGCTGATGGTGCTTACTGACCTCCCAGGGAAGTTAGGAGGGGCCTGATCCTGTGACATGCTGAGCACCGGGTCAATGAGCACAGAGGATGCTGAGGCTTGGATGCAAGGGGCTCCCTCCAGGCAGATTGTAGCATCTGTGAATGGGCCTGAGCTTAAAGGGACTCGGTTGAGAAAAAATCAGACGACTGGAGAAAGGAAGCATGCTTCTCTGTGCCACTGGCTCCCCTTTGATCACCAAATCAACGTCCCTGACCTGTGCGTGCCATGTGCCTTCTGGGTTTCACTCAGTGGTTTGTTCTAGTCACGGCTTTGTTCTAGTCCGGCGTGTCATTCGGGTCTCACGCATGCAGCAGGATGCCACAATCCATGGGCAGACGTTTGCATTTTTGTCCGGAAGATCTTGTCGTCATCAAATTCTCACTCACACGCTTCTCTTCCCAGGAGATTGTGCACAGCATCTGCTGGTGCCCAGGGGCTGGGTCCTGCTCTCCGCGCCGCTCCTGGAGTGATGGAGTCACTCTGTGTCTAGGGTGACCAGATGTCCTGATTTTATAGGGACAGTCCCGATATTTGGGGATGTTTCTTATATAGGTGCCTGTTACCCCCCCCCCCCATACTTTGTCCCGATTTTTCATACTTGCTGTCTGGTCATTCTATCTGCGTCTGAGAGCAGAATACGGCCCCTCGCTCGGCATTTGGCCTGTGCCTGTCTCATGGAAGTGGTGTGTGCCCGTGTGGGGCTGCTGTCTGACAGACCGTTCAGTATCTCTACAGCGGGATGCTGCCCTACCTCCCTCACTTCCCAGCTAAACGCGCCGGGCTTGGTGCTGGGGGATTTTGTAACGTTCCTTTAGTCACCAATGATCGTTCCAGCCAGGACCTTTCAATGGGCCTTGCCCATCGTTGGCCTTCATGGCTGCCCATAGCCTGAGCTTTGCCGAAGCCCCGCAGCGGAGTTCAATGCGCCTGTCCTCTGCCCCGCAGGAGCCGTTGTTCGGGATGCTCACCGCGCCACTGGCGTCCCCGCTGACCCAGTTGGAGGAGGAGCTGGTGCAGGAAGCGCTCAGTCTGTTCAAACTGGTAGGTTGGTGTTCACAGCATCTCCTGGCCTCATCCCCAAGGCCTCTGGTTTGTCCAGAGCGTCTCCTTGCGGCCTGGGGATTGCAGAGGGAAGGGAGCAAGGCTCCGTCCAGCCAAGGGGTAGGAGGATTCATGGCTAATGGGCATAAGTCCATAAATCAGTTTGGGCTGGAGGCCTCGGATGCCTCCTCAGGTCCTGCCTCCAGCCCCTGATCCCTGGCCTGACTCTGCTGACCTGGCCATAGGCACATGCTCAGAGGGGCCTTTCAGCAGGGATGGAGAAAAAAGACCACCAGGCGTTCACAGCATTGCTATGGGACCTCGTGGCTTCTCCAGCACCAGCCCAGCGCCCATGACGGGTGATGCTAAAGATCTTGACCCACCATCTCCAAAGGGGTGAAACCAGCCCACTCAGAGCCCAGGGTGGTGGGGCTGGGACAGGGAGCTCTTCAGGAGGAGGGCTAGCTCCTGCACCAGTGTTCTGCCAGCCCTGTCCCCTCTCAGGGATGGGGAGTGACACTGCACCAGGGCAGGCTGGGCACAAAGGCAGGCGCTGGGACCAGCAGCTGCAGCGCGGATGCCTCCATGGAGATGGGATGATGCCTCCCAGGAGAAAAATGTCCGGGGGCGCCCCTGGAAAGAGGGGGAGGCCTGTCTGTGTTGGGGGAAGGGAAGGAGAGATTTCTGACCGTTGCTCGGTATCCCACATCTCCTGGCCCCTCTCCCGGTGGTAGATTCTGCGCTTCATGGGCGACCCGCACCTCGGCGGCACCCCGGAGAGCCTGTTTGGGAACTACATCGTGCAGAAGGGGCTCTGGGCGCCGGGCCTGCGGGACGAGATCCTGGCTCAGATCGCTAACCAGGTGTGGCGCAACACCAACGTCAACAACGAGGAGCGGGGCTGGCTCCTCCTGGCCGCCTGCCTCAGTGGCTTTGCCCCCTCTGCCGGCCTGGAGAAACACCTGCTCAAGTGAGCACTGGGGCTGGGGAGAGGTCGTGAGGGAACCCATGGGACAGGGCTGAACATCCCTCTGATGGTCCCAGTCTTGGGCTCCTTCTAGCCCCCTTAGCTGCCAGCGAACCCTATGGGAATCAAGGGCATCCGCACATACCGCTCCTCCGCAGGGCTCAAACCTGCAACCCTCCACCCCAAAACCTCTGGCTTGTACCCCTTGAGCTAAAGCAGGAACTCCTTTAGCTGTGCGGCAGCAGTAGGCTATTGTAATCCCTGGGCTGGCCTCTAGGGGGAGACATCAGCACTCACACTAAGCGCAGGGTATTCCATCAGCACCTGGAAAGGTTGGGGCTGTTGGATGCGCAGCCGGAGACATGCCCCTGCCTCACGGCTCCATCAGGGCTTCCAGGTGACCCGTGGCGTTGCCTGGAGAGCGCGAGTCAGTGAAAGTCAAAGGAGGTTGGGTCCTGCTCCATTGTGCAGATGCGTGTCCTGCTGGCCCAGCCCCCTCCCACGGCGTCCATCCTTCCTGTGTAGGTTTGTTTCCGACTACGCCTTTGATGGCTACAAGCCGGTGTGCCAGCACAAGCTGATGCAGGCCATGCTGAGGTCCCAGCTTGGCCCTGAGGCGGCCCGTGCCTACCCACCGTCGCTGCTTGAGTGGACAGCCAACAGGCAGAGAGCAAGCATGGCCTTGGACGTCTACTGCTTCAACGGTGAGGGGCCTCTGGGACGAACCCAGGGGACTTGGGTCAAGACTCAGCCCGGGGGGTCAGGGGGATCGAGGGCGGCTGCAGGGAGAGGTGATGCCACTGCCCTGGTGGGCCAGATGCTGGTGGGCCTGGCTGGCACCCCGCGCACACCCCCATGGCTCAGTGGGGGCTCACGGGGGTTAGTGAAGACAGAACGTGGCCCAGAGTCTGGGCTCTTGGGGGTAGATAAAGCCAGGATCTTGGGGAACCGGCCCCAGAGTGCGGGGGCGTGGGGGAAGCAGGGAGGCTGGTGGCTGGGCCGCTGCGCTTGCAGGGGAGATCGGGACTGAGAGGCAGAGGCAGACTGGGAAGCGATGTGCAAGGGGAAAATGGGATGGGGGGTGAGGGAGTGGGGGCACAGTAATTTGGGGGAGTCCAATATTTGAGTGCACCCCAGCCCTCATTTAGCCTTAACCATCCTCTGTGTCCATCCCTTCCCCGGGCCCTTCTTTCCCTGCCCAGCTCCGGGGGCAGTTTTGCCAGTGTGCGCTCACTGCCCCACGTACCCAAACAGACTCCAGGTGGGGGGTGCGTGGGTCGGGGCTGGGGTTCGGCTGCTCGGTAACATGCAGCGATTTGACCGTCTGCTCTTAACTTCTCAGGTGACTACTTCTCCTGCCCCATCCATTCCTGGAGCACAGGGGAGGAGCTAGCAGGGGACGTGCTGAAGCACAGGTAGGGGGGCTTTGGCCCTGCTGGGGCCGGCCGGCGTCCCGACCACCTGCCCCATGGATCTGTCTGCTCCGTTTCCCACAGGGACTGTGGAAGCCCTTGGCCCACGCCGTGCTAGGCAGAGCCGGCTAGGCTGCGGCTCTCTAGTCAAGTAAGAAGCAGTGACTAGCTAACGCTACACAATTTGGATCCAGAGTCCCAATGGGCAGGGTGCATATGGATCTGGGGCCCGAGGGGGCTGGTTCAGGCCCCATCTCTAGCCATATGCAGCCCCTCGGGCGCAAAGCAATGAGCCCTTCCCCAGCAGGGCCGTGGGCTATCGCAGCAGCTGCTGGCTGTGGAACTGGTGGGCCCTGGTTCTATTTCGGCAGCTGTGGGTGCGTGTTGGGGTCTCGATGCATGGAGGGCCAGGGCCAGGGCCTGGCCTAGTGGTGGGGTTGAGCAGGCAGGGCTCCCCCCACGAAGGCCTGCCCTGGGCCTGCTCTGTCTCCTCCTCGCTGCGTCCCCCCTCAGGAGTGCGCTCTCCTGGCTCAGACGCTGTGCTTTGCCGGCAGGGGGCTGACGGAAGGCTGGAGGGGCTGGTCCATCTCCATGAAGGATGGCGCCCAGTGGGCCGAGCTGGCTGGCCACGATTACATCCTGGACCTCGTTTCCGACCTGGAGCTGCCCAGGGGCTTCCCCAAGCAGAAATCTTATTTCATCGTCGCTTCAGAGGGGGTGGACAAGGGCAGCAGCGCTGCCAGCACGTAGGTATCCGGGGATGCTGAATAGCCTAGAGGGGAGAGTCTGGCCGGGCCCGGGGACCCATGAGCTCCCAGCGGCTGTGGGGGAGGTCAGAACCCCAGATCCCCAATGTGCAGACCTATTCCAGAGCCGCTTGGAGCATCTGGATGCTCTTCACAGCAGCTCTGCTTTTAAAGGGACAGCGACCAGAGCGCTGGGCCCCTTTGAAGCTCCGGATCATTCAGCTGCATAGTGTGCAATATACGTACCATTGCATGCCCTGCAAATGCTTTCTGAGAGGCGTGAGGTGTGGCCATCAGAAGGAGGCGTGGCCAGAAGAGGGGGTGTGGCCTCTGGAGGGAGCAGCGCATAGGACTGAGAGCCAGGAACAGCTGGGATCTTATCACAGCAGGGCTAGTGGCTCGCTTTGATCTTAGGCGCCTGGAAGGGCAGAACTCTTGCGAGATCCGGAGTGTTTGGACAGGGTGGGACGAGCGCCCATTGCCAGACCCTCAGCCTAGCCCTGCCTCAGAACTGGCTGCACGCAGGGTCTCCACCTCAGCGCGTCTCCAGCCGCGATGATGCCAGCAGCCGCCTGCAGTCACCAGCAAATGAAGAGAAAGCAATGAAGGGTGGAGATTAAACAGCTGTTCCGTCTTTATGCCTCCCCCCCCCCCTTTTTTCTCTGTAGAGTATTCGGACAAGGCTTGGATTCGGACGAGGAAGTCCCTCCTCCCCCACTCACAAAGGCCCCCACTCTGCCGCCTCCAAACACCCCTGACTCAGATGGATATTACAGTCGTGGTAAGAGTCAAACTCGCCTTCCTGCAGCCTTCTCCCCCCAGACTGGGCCCCTCTTTCCACGGACAGAGCAGTGCAACTCCCATTCACTTCAGGATCCAGCTCAAAATCATCTTGGCCTGGGGTTTTAGAAAAAGGCAACCCTTCCCATAATGCAGCTGACCACTCCTGGTCTCTGTAGGGGAGGGGGGTTTGAGGGCCTTCCTGACCCGATGCCCTGAAGCATGAGATTTGGTCACCCCCGCTTTAGCCTGCAGAGATGTTAATGTCACCATGGCCATGGAATTATCCAGCTATAGACTCTGGAGTGCAGGGAGTTTCGCGGTTACGGGCCATTAGCCCATGAACCCGGGAAGCGTTTGGAAGCAGTAGGCACTAGTCAGCCAACACCTTCCTCTTCGGCTAACTCTTCCTCTGCCTGTTGTGACCCCGCCAGCAGATTCCGACACCGTCAGCGAAGCTCGAACACACAAGGGGTTGGATCGTTACCTGGACAGTCTGTTTGACCCGGTCCTGTCCTATGGGAATGGGGTAAGGACAGTTCCCTGTTGGGAATGAGAGGAAGGACGACTGGGGCTTGGGAGCCCGGCCCTACTTCACGGGGGTGTCATTAAGGACTGTGAGGGGCCCAGCGACTAGGGAAATGGGGTCCAGGCAAGGACCATAGATAGATCAAGGGAGTCCCTGTCTTAACTGCAGCAGTTTCCCCCCGGGACCCTTAGGCGCTTGGGTGTAAGAAGGGAACGAACCACAGCAGAAAACTCTTTGGGGCCAGATTCACGGGGCAGCAGAGTCTATGTTTGCTAGCCAGGCCCCCTGCCCAGTGTCAGCAAGGCTGGCGGGTTTAATCTGCTGTCTCTGCCGAATGGCTTAAGCACCAGGTTGGAAGCACTGCAGCTTCAAGTCTCTGGCACTTAAACACCTGTGTGGGCCCCTATGATCCCACAGCTCTTTGGTGAGAATCCGAGCTGGGTGGCCTCTGTTCTCCCACTTCCCTTCCCACCCCAGAGGTGGCTGCATTTCCATAGCAGGGGTGGCCTTTGGGAGTGGCATGAAAGCTGCTGTATAAACGTCACCCGCTATTATGTTACTGGAGTTTTTTCTTCTCTCTTGTGCTGTGCCAGGTGGCAGGCCCCGGGAAGGGGATCAGTTACACTGCAGTTGAGAGGGCCGGATGGAGCCATCACCCTCATCTAGGCAGAACCATTAGGTGGGCTCCCCGAATGGGGGCATGGGGACGAGTTACCCCGGGAGAAGCTAGGAGGCATGAAACCTCAGTTGTTACGACCCCTCAGCCGTATTGGCTTTTGGCTCCCTACCTGTCCATTGCGATTGCAGCGTTAGTGGGGAAGGAGCTGTCACTCGATCTCCCTGGCCTGGATGTTCCCTGGCACTCGTCTGCTGTGGCTGGGATCACTTTCCAGCCTGCCACCGAGGCTCCCGCCCCTGCCACCCTTGCACCTTTGTTTGCTCTGTTCCCGCCTCTCTCCCGTGCCAGGACTTGGAGAAGCCGGCTGCTGTCTCCCGGAAGATGAAAGGAGGAGGCCGAGTAGGAGGTGGGGGCAGCAATGTGGACCAAGGCAGTGCCAGAACACCCATGGAGATGCCCCAGCAGACTGGTGAGTGTGGGCAGAGCCTCCTGGCCTTGCACAGGCAATGCCTGCCAGAGCAGGATTCTGCAGGGCGCAAGGCTCCTGGGTTCTATTCCCAGCTCTGCCACGGGCCTGCTGGGTGACCTCAGGCAAGTCACTGCCCTGCTCTGGGCCTCAGTTTCTCCATCTGCACAGTGGGGATGATGATCATAATAATCATAATACCTAGCTCATGCCTAGCACTTTTCATCCATGGATCTAAGTCGCTTTACACAGGAGGGCAGGATCACTGTCCCCATTATACAGATGGGGAAACTGAGGCATGGGAGGGGAAGTGACTCGCCAAAGGTCATTCAGCAAAGCAGTGGCAGAGCAGAGCCGGAACTTGAACCCAGGTCTAAGTCTCAGTCCAGTGTCCTATCCACTAGGTCGCACAGCTGGGAAGGGCGAGGTCAGGTGTGTGGATGTGTGAGATCTGTGGCCAGAAGGAGCTGCAGGGAGACTGCTTGCCCTGTGCCTGTGAGCGGAGGGCTGCTTGTGTTAGGGGACTCTGAACACACCCAGGGATGGCTACCTCAGCGCCGAGAGAAGCTATAGGGGTACGCTAGGGCCAGATTTCCTCAGGGAAGTTGTAATCACTAGGAAGGGGAGTCTAGCCCCTTCCGTCCCACCTGATTTCAGTGGGGCTGGCTGGCTCAATGACCATGGGGCCTTCCCCTTCTGAGGCTTGAAATGAGTCTTAACTACCCACGTCCCCACTCCACCCCCAGCTTTGAGGTGATTGGCTGAAGGCTGGGACTGGAGTAATGCGGGGGGCTTCAGTGGGGTGTGTGGAGATCTCAGCCTGCCAGCCAAGGGCAGTCCCATATCCCTCCCACGAAGAGGGGTGGTGCCCAGAACGCAGGCGCCTCTGGGAGCAACAGGCCCGTATTGCTGCACCCAGGACGGTCGGATGGGCCGTGAGCGAACCGGGGTGCAGAAAACGCGGCTCCTCGGCACACGGTACAGACAGGATCCAGCCCTGGCTAGTAAGGGGTGGCAGCGCTGTGAACCAGCGTGGGGCCTTCAGCCAAGGAAGGGTGGAGAGGGTCCCTTTGAAGCCACGGTCTAGAGGGGTCAGGTGAGAGCAATGCAAGGCGCTCCCCTGTCCCTGGGCTGTGCACCCTGCCCCCGCTTTCCCAGCCACTCTGTCCTCTCCAGGTCCATGCCCTACACCCGTCACCGTGGTACCTGAGCCCCAGCGAGGCTGTGTGCACACTTCCAGGCTCCCGCGTTTGCTGGACTGCCCCCTTCTCTGCGCACACCCAGGCAGCAGCTCTATCCGCCGGCCTTTGGCAAGCGCTTCCGTTTCTGGTTTCACCCCAGCTCCCTCCTCTTTGCATTTGCAGGTTTGCAGGAGCCCGGCTTGGTGCCGCAGCGCGACCACATCAAGCAGCAGGCCCTGCTCCGGGTCAGTGGGGCCGGGGACTTGGGGGGCACAGTAGGGGGCAGCGCCGAGGTGTAAAGCACACGCAGCAGCATGTCAGTACTGCAGGAGCCGTGGGGCTTTTCCCTTGCCGATTCTAGTGCCTTAGTTCAAAATGTGTCAGATCCCTGCCCGGGATAGCGACTGGGGCGCTGGGGCGGGCAGAGGCCCCAGGCACTAAGGGGCGGTAGAGATGACAGGCCACAAGGACGTCAGGGTTTAACACTCCCCTCCCATCCCAAGCGGAATGTGGTTGGGGCTGGAGATTTGGGGCAGCCTTGGAGGAAGGGGGCCTGGCCACTGGTTCGCATCTCTGTCCTGCCCTGTGGGAGCACCGGGGATAAGCGAGGGGGTGTCTGAGGATGCGGTGGAATCCGGCCATGGGGCAGCGCGCAGCCTGTGCTCACACCCGCTCCCTCATTTCGGCGGCGCAGGCTCGTCAGATCACCAGGCAGCAGCAGCAGGCAGACGGCACAGCCTCCCCCAACGCCTCCCAGGCCACCAGCCCCAGACCTGCCGACCGAGCCCCCAGCACAGTCCAGAGCGCGCCCGGCACGGCACTGCCGCAGCAGGTGGGTCTGTCTCATGTGCCCCTGCTGGGGGGGATGGGAACACACCCAGCCTGCGTTCAGAGCAAGAAGTTAACCATATGGCCCTAAAATCCCTTTTCTCCGCTGTGAGTGTCAAGACGAGCAGGCAAGGGATTGACTTCTAGGACGTTACATCTGGATGCCGGCCCTTTTATAGCCTTTCCCTGAGGTCTAATGAGCCCAACCCAGCCCCAGTGAGGAGTAGAACAGGGCTGGACAGGACCCTGCGTATCTTGGCAGATCACGTGTCCCCCCCCTGGGGGCGGCTGAGCCCTGAGAAGGTGTGAGGCTGCCCTCCAGGGAGGCCGAGTGCTGCCGGATGGCAGGCTCCCAGGCAGGGTCATAGTTTCTCCCATCTCATTCTTCTCTCACAGGCTGGCATGGCCCCAGCCCTCTTTTATGGACCCTCCCTGGAGCTGTGTGTCCTGGGGGTGAGGAGAGAAATAGAAACCCCAGGGAGTGGGGGAGATGGACTCCCCACGGAGTGACTGCTGGCCTCAGTGCGGTGCTAGGAGTAGCCTTTTCTTTGTATTGAAAGTGAATTTAGGGCTGGCGTATTGCATCGCTGTGGGTTCGGCTCCGGTGGCGGCAGGCTCAACAGAGTTCCCTCTGCCACTAGTCTCAGGTCTAGAGCTGCTAGGAACACATGAAGACCAAGGAAAGAAACACGGACATTCACAAGAACAATGTCTAATATCTTTTATCAGTTGTATTAACGCTACCAACAGCATTATGAGTATCCAAGGCTAGATACATCCTACATCCTAGATCCAGCAGATCGAGGGACGTGATCGTTCCCCTCTATTCGACATTGGTGAGGCCTCATCTGGAATACTGTGTCCAGTTTTGGGCCCCACACTACAAGAAGGATGTGGAAAAATTGGAAAGAGTCCAGCGGAGGGCAACAAAAATGATTA